TATACTAGTTTTAAAAAGGCTTAGTTTTCTATATATTTCTAATATATTTCTTTAGTAAAATAGTTATATTATATATATTTAGGAAATATCTAATATTTAGTAAGGTATTTTAGATACCGGATATCTGGAAATTATAATATTTATAATAATATTAATATCTAAGAATAAAATATTGGATTTTTTAATCTATTTATATAATTCTCTAGTAATAATATAGTTATTAGTTTCTAAAAGCTTTATAATAAAAGTAAAAAATTCTATTTTTATAGATTTATTTATAAATTCTTTAGAAATACTAATAAGATATTTAGTTTAGAAAAAGCTACTAATAAAATAACCTAAACTAGTAAGAGCTTTATTAGAAGCCTTAATAAAAGTTAATATAATTTCTAATTATATAATATTCTAGAAAATTAATTTATTATATTTTTCTTTTATTATATTCTTTTTAGTAATCTTATTACTAGTATATATATAAGATCTATAAGATTACAAAATAAGGCTTAAAAGTAATAGTCAGATTACTAGCCTATAAATATCTATTATTCTAGAACTTAATTAAAAAATAGCCTTTATTTAAGGTTTTTTTAATTTTCGGGTTTTTGGAAAAAGTTTCTAATATATTACTAATATATATTTATAAAAATATAAATACCTAATTTCTTTAAGAATTTTAAAGCTTTTTGCTTTTATTATTCTAAAATCTATTACTTATATTTTTAAGATTCTATTATTTTAGTAATACTTATATTACTAATAATTCTAAATTAGTTTATTTGAATTTTTTTATAAAATTAAAAAAGTAAATTTTAAATATTATTATAAATATAATATTTAAGGTTTAGAAAGTAAGATAAAAGGTTTTTTATAAAAATAATTTAAAGTTAAGAAAAAGAAAACTAGAATATAAAAAGCTATAAGGAAATATATATATTCTATAATATATTAGTTTTAAAAAAGCTTAGCTTTCTAAATATTTCTAGTATATTTCAAATATATTTCCTTAATAAAGTAGCTATATTATATATATCTAAGAGATATCTAGTATCTAATAAGATATTTTAAATATTAGATATCTAGAAATTATAATAGAAAAAATAAAAATAAATAAAAATAAAAAAAAGTAAACTAAATAAGTAAAAAATATAATAAATATAAAATATAAAAAATATAAAAAAAATATAAAAAAAAAAAAAGAAAAAAAGAGAGAAGAAAAGAAAATAAAAGAAGAAAAAAGAGAAGAAAAAAAGAGAAAAAAAGAGAAATAAACTAAAAAATAGATTTATAAACTAGTTAAAAAGTAAATATAAATATTATAATAATTATTAGTTTTAATTTTAAAATAAGTAAGATTTAAAAAGGCTTAATAAATAAAAAAGAAAGCTTTATAAATTTATAAAATAGCTAGAGAATTTATAAACAAAAAAGAAAGCTTTATAGATTTACAAAAATAAAAAAAAGTTTTATAAATAAAAATAAGGCTTAGAAAAACTTATAAAAGAAAGAGAGTTTTATAAATATAAATAAAATTTAGAAAAATTTATAAAAGAAAAGAAAGAATTCTATAAATAAAAATAAGGCTTAGAAAAATTTATAAAAAAGAAAAAAAGTTTTATAAATAGAAATAAGGCTTTAGAGAAAGTTATAGATAAGAGTATAAGTAATAAGAAGCTTATAAAAATAAATAAGATTTAAAAAAGCTTATAAATATAATATATAAAATAAAAAGTTAAATATTTAAATAATAGCTCTTAAAAATTAATTTCTTTTATATTTATATATTATATTAATATAAGCTTATAAATATAATATAGTTAGCTATATTTAAGAAAAAGACTTAAAAGAGCTTATAAAAGAAAAAAGAAAGCTTTATAAATATAATTAGAAAATATTATAATTTATAAAAAGAAAAAAAAAGCTTTATAAATAAATATAAAACTTAGAAAATTTATAAATAATAATAAAGTTTTATTATAAAAAAATTATATAATTTTTTAATTTCGAATTAAAATTAAAATTAAATTAAAAACTAGCTCTAAAGCTTATATAAGGCTATTAAACTTAAATTTTAATAAAGCGGCTCTAATTTTATTTATATAATAATTATATTAAATTTATAAAAAACTTTTTTTATTATATAATTCTTTTTTATTATATAATTCTTTTTTATTATATAATTCTTTTATTATATAATTCTTTTTTATTATATAATTCTTTTTTATTATATAATTCTTTTTTATTATATAATTCTTTTTTATTATTATAATTCTTTTTTATTATATAATTCTTTTCTATTTATATAGAAATATTAAAAGCTTCTTTAAAAGCTTTATTATATATTTTATATTTTATATTTATATTTTATATTTATATTTTATATTTTATATTTTATATTTTATATTTTATATTTTATATTTTATATTTTATATTTTATATTTTATATTTTATATTTTATATTTTATATTTTATATTTATAATATTTTAATTAAATTAATTCTATTATTCTAAATATTACTATTTTTAGTTAATTTTCTAGTTCTTTTTTAAAAATAACTAGTAAACTATAATATATAGTTTTTATTTTAAATAATAAACTTTATATTATATATTAATTTAGGAATAAAAGATAGAAAAAAAGAAAAAAAGCAAGCTATAAATAAGTTAATAGATTTATTTATAAATAAGCTAACTTTTCTAGAGCTATAAATTTATTATTTAAGCTATTTATAATTTTATAATCTCGGCTATTTTCTTATTTATAAATTCTATTATTACTAGAATTTAAAAATAAAGTATTATTAAACTCTAATAACTTATATTTCAAATTCTTTCCTAATTTAAACTAAGCTTATAAATTATATTTAATACTAGTAATAAGCTACTAGGAAAATAAAGAAAGAATTTACTAAATACTAAATAATTATAATTAATAATTATATCTAGAAACTAATTTAAGAAAAAAAGCAGAAGCTCTAGAACTAGTAGTAATAATATAAGAATAGAAAGGCAAAGAGAAGAATTTAGAAAATAGAAAGTAAAGAGTAAATAAGGGAATTATAGGTATAAAAAGGCTAGTTTCTAGAAAAGGGGAAATTTAAGATATAATAGAAAGCAAGAGAGAAGAAATAGTAAAAAGCAAGTAAGAGATTAAAGGAAAAGAATAGAGAAAGAAGGAAAATAAAAAAAATAGAGAGAAGTAGACTAAGTAAGTAGAAAGGAAAAAAAGGAAAGGAAAAAAGAAAAGAGGGAGAGAAAAGAGAAAGAAGACAAAGAGGAAAAAGAGAAAGAGGCAGACTAAAGAATAAGCTTGCGAATTAGTAGAGAGGCAAGTAAAGGAAATATATATAGATAAATATAGATAAATATAAATATTATAATAATTATTAGTTTTAATTCCAGGGCAAATAAAGCTTGGAAGGACTTAATAAATAAGAAAGGAAGCTCTATAGGCTTATAAAATGGCTAGAGAATTTACAGGCAAGAGAGAGAGCTTTACGGGCCCGTAAAAGGAAAGAAAGAGCCCTATAAGTAGGAGTGAGGCTTGGGAGAGCCCGTAAGAGGGAGAGAGCTTTACAGGTATAAATGAGACTTGGGAGGGTCTATAGGAGGAAAGAAAGGGCTCTATAAGTAAGAGTAAGGCTTAAAAGGGTTTATAAGAGAAAAGAAAGAACTTTATAGGTAGAAATAAAGCTTTAGAGGAAGTTATAGGCGAGAGTACGGGTAATAAGGGGCTTATAAGGGCAAGTGAGGTTTAAGAGAGCCTATAAGTATAGTATATAAAGCAAAAAGCTAAATATTTAAATAAAAGCTCTTAAAAATTAATTTCTTTTATATTTATATATTATATTAGTACGAGCTTGCGAGTATAATATGGCTAGCTATATTTAAGAAAAAGGTTTTATAAGTAAAAGGCTTAAAAGGGCTTATAAAAGAAAAGAGAGAGCTTTATAGATATAATTAGGGAATATTATAGTTTATAAAGAAAAAGAAAGAGCTTTATAATAAGTATAAGGCTTAGAAGGCCTATAAGTAATAATAGAGCTCTATTATAAGGAAGTTATATAACTCTCTTAATCTTAAATCAAGATTAGAGTAAAATTAAAGACTAGCCCCGGAGCTTATATAGGGCCGCCAGGCTTGAATTTTAGTAAAGCGGCCCTAATTTTATTAAGTCTAGATAGCTATATAATAGCTAGTATATGCCTATATAATACTAAATTACTATTTATTATTGAAATTAGGGGCCTAAGGCCCCTAATAGGCTTAGTAAGCCCTGGAATAGAGCCTTAGGGATTATATACTAATGAAATAGAGCCTTAAGGGCTATATACTAATAGGACTTAAGCTATAGGCTTATTACTAAAGTAGATTATGCCCTATAAGGTTAATATAGGGCATAATATACCCTATAAGGCTAAATCGGTTTAGCTGAGGTTAAATGGTTTAGTATAAGGCTCTCTGGTTTAGGGGTTTAGTATATATAACTTAGGGGGTTCAGGGCTATATATACGGGCTACTTACTACTATAGAATAGTAGTTAATTCATTACGTTTTACTTGGTTTACATTGCAAGCACGTGACCCTAGCTTTACTTAGCTAGTTCAATACCTATTAGCTCATTATTTAATGTTTGGTGGGCGGTCGCAGCGGCTATGCGTTATTATCGGCCTCGTGGTTTTCTTAAGTGTCCCTAAGCGAACTAGCCCGGTCTTAAATTTATATAGTGAGAGTCCTTTCCCATCTAATACTTTAAGAAAACAATTAATTAAGAATCCAACCTAGTACAGAAGTCCTGTCCTACACCGCGATTTAATAGGAGGAGAAGCGTAGCACAGCATACAGCAGCAATCAACCCCACCCATATGCCACAGTCAAAGGCCAGAGAAGTCCATTTGCATTTAAGCTATCCCTCATTCAACTAGCGTACATGCATTGCCCAACACGTCATAATCATATCAGGCTCCAGTTCGTCGTTTGGGCTTCACTACATATATACCTGAGGACCTACCCTTGAGACTGATGGCCCCAGGAAGAGCGTAAAGTTCTCCATCTTTTGATAAACTAGAATTAGAGTCGTCGCATTCTGCAGAAATCCTTGCACGTAAGACCTCTCAATGCCTCCAAACACCCCACACGGCTTTCTCGCAGCACACGCCGTGCGTTGCGCCCATCTGGATGACGGGGTTCGCGCCGCACCTAATACCAAACGGCTTATAGTTTGCTGTGATGGGACATGGAACAACACGTGCGCAACATTGTTAAACTCCGTGCCATCGCTAAAGATCTAATATGAATTACTCAAAGTAATGACAAGGCGGATCCCGCCAGTAACGTGAGCCGCTTGTCAGGCGCTTTCTCTCGAAGCTGCTGCTCTGGCATGCCTCAGGTCATTTACTACCACCCGGGAGCTGGAACCGAGACGTCAAAATTTGCCCAGCTCCTGGGTGGGGCGTTTGGGTATGGAGTTCCACAGGTAAGTGAGAGCTAGTCTTTGTCAAGACATACGCTTGGTGTCGAATTCATCCGTTTCGTTTCCCAGGACATTGCCGAGACTTACCGCTTCATCTGCGACAACTACCGCCCCTACGACGAGCTTTTCCTCATTGGCTTCTCACGTGGCGCCTTCACAGCTCGCTCCATTGCCGGCATGGTGTGTTCTCTTGGCTTCCTCAACCGCGCTGGTATCGAGCAATTGCCTCACATATTTGGCGACTACTCGCACTGGTCGTCCTGGACGAGCGAGTCCCATTTTAATCACCAGCTCCATCTGAGAGCCTTCACCCTTGAGAACATGGAAAAGAACGAAGAGATCGATGTACTCTGGAAGAACATAAAGGCCAAACAGAAGGTGAAAGAGGGTCATTCTCAGGAATCTGGCGTCCCCGGGCCTTCAAGCACCAGGAGTTCCTTGGAGCAGAATGATGCTCGCGCTGAATTCGAGCCCACTTACACTCCTAGGAGTAAGAGTCAGTTGAAGGTAGAGCTCCAGAAGGACAAAGAGACTTTGTTTCAAAACATTGTGAAGGCAAACAGAACGAGTGGCACCGATGAGGCGGCTCAAGTGGCGAAGGTATACCGGGACATGTTGGCGAAGGTCGGTAACTCTAGGCTATGCCGCCCACCCAGATCGCTCCCTTTCATAGGACTGATCAGTTGGCAGCACCAATTGGTAATGACATCGAAGCGTCGATCCGAGAGTCCCGAACCAAAACCTGGAGACTCGGCAAAGTCGAGGATGAATTCCCAGCATTCTGTAGCCGAGAATGTCGACCAGCCCGGCGCCGCCGGCGGTCCAAAGAAAGGAAATGGCAACGAATTGGAAGAATTTCCGATGGAGGGAAGGGTTCGGGCAATCGGTGAGTTCATTCGGGAATCTGCGGGTATCTCGGACTAACATGTACCGTTAACACTTTTCCTGTCAGGCGTTTGGGATACAGTGGGAAGCCTCGGTATACCGAAAACTGCTCTAAGTCGCAGTACCCGTCGAGCACGCGAGGCAAGTTGGTGGGAACATCTCCCGAGGAACACCCTAGTCTAATAATCCAGTACTAGATGCAGTTGGAAAGCTTGTACGTCCACCCCAGGGTGGATTACGCCTTCCACGCAGTCGCGCTTGACGAATGGCGCACCGCCTTTCGCCCGACTATGTGGGGGAAGAGGAACAACGGCCACACGAATCTGCGTCAGGTCTGGTTCCCCGGAAATCATGGCAATGTTGGCGGGGGGTGGGAGGACCAGCAAATTGCTACAATCGCCCTTGCATGTACGGTGTACCCCATGGCCCCTGTTTCAGAGCTTCCAAAACCAACAGGAGCTAACGGGAGAAACACTAGGGATGGCGGACCAACTGACACCGCTCGGAGTCGAGTTCAGCAGGCAGGAAATGGAGCGCATCTTCTCGTCCGTCAATCCCGGCGTCCAGGTTCGGGAATGGGGCATGGGACGTATTTACAACCCACACGGCGTTACCACCTACTTTGATCGGGTCTTCAATCTGATGGCAAAGCCTTGTCGCAAACTCAAGGGAATAAAAAAGGACAAGAATCCGCGGGAACCGGGCAGGTACTATGACGAAGACAATGCTCACCTTCGCACTCGTCTTCCGGAGACGAACGAGCTCGTCCATCCTTCAGTTCGAATCCGTTACCTCTACGGCGGTCCCGGCCTCGATGGTAAGGGCGTTTGGAGTTGTGGAGCTTTGATCGGGGAAGGCTGCTACAGTCTCCAGTCCGACCCGAATTCGATCCATCCCCGTCAAGGTCGGCAGCTGAACCAGAGCAAGAGTGAATATCAGTGTGTTGTCGGCGTGGCTATTCCATACTACGGAAAGCCGCCCGAGCCCAACAAGAGACCCAGTGATAAGGACAAGGACCGGAGGTTGGTCCGCGTTGAGCAGCCGAACTGGTTCAAGTCGTTCGAAAACGCGATTAACAACCTTCTTCCTCCACCAGAACGTCGTTGGTTCTGGTCACCTGAGTTTGATGGCGGGGAGATATTAGAGGAGGAGCATTTGGGTATATGGGAGCAAAAGTTTATTCACATCAACGACAAGCTCAAGGAGCGGGCGGTCGTTGATGGGGTCGGAACCGGGGCGGGAAGCGGGGATGGCGCTTCCCGGTATACATTGAGAGGGGGTTCTGGGCTGCCCGAGGGTTGCTCAGAGTACAGACTCCTCGATGTCAACAGATGGGAAAATTGGACTCCAGCGTGATATTGATTGAGGAAGATATAGTTTGTCATTATTATATTATACTTTCCAATCTTCAAGTACTTCCTATTTTTGCTCCAGCGCGGTCCCTCAGCAGCGGGGCCGCAACGTTTCGGGGCCGGCAGGCGTGGCTGGGTGGGCACGGACGCGCCAAACCGCGAAGCACACAACCCGCGTGCGAAACACCATTTAAAATGCGATTTTTTTTTAGCAAGGTCCACCAAAACGCGTTTCGCAAGAAATACGATTTTACTACCTATTAATTATACTATAATCTTTACTTTAAATTATTATTTCTCTTAATAATTTAATAGGGCATAAATCCCTATTACTTTAAATTATTATTTCTCTTAATAATTTAATAGGGCATAAATCCCTATTACTTTAATGGAGTTAATAATTTAATTATAAAACTCAAAATAACTAGTTTATTAATTATGAAATTCAAAAGAATAATTTATATAAATCTAATTTTTTAATATATTAAATATAATAAGGCATATAGAATTTCAAGCATTAATATGGTGGACAACTTCAAATCGCCTCCGCGTCGTTAAACACTAGTTAGATCAATCGCAACTTCTGCTTTGGAGAGCTCCCTTGGGCGCTCTTGAGCATCGCCGGCTCCAGTCATACCAGTCTACCAACGTTTCACTATAGGGTAATTTCTCCCTCACTGATCAAAATTCTCGAGTATCCTCCACGAACGCCTTCCATCTCATCAGATCGGCATCGTAGCCTCAGTTTCAACAACGATCCAGCTAGCTGCAATGGTTTCGAATTCCAGAGAGAGTATTTCAACGCCTCAACAACTCAAGCGCTCTGCTACTTCCGTATACTAGACATCATATTCAACGCGAGTTTGTGTATGATATGGTGGCACGGGGCATCGAGAAACAGAATGACGTATTCGTCAGCAATAAGGATCGATTTGAATGGCAAACACTATGTGGGAGAGATTTCGTGCAACTCAGGGATGTTCGGGTAGCACACTAGTGAATGAGCGTTCCCGAAGCTATTCCAAGCACATTGTGATGTTCGCATTTGCAAAAAAGAATTGTAAATCTATCGTATGTTTTCAATAAGTTCAACGATATACCACCCCATGTGACGGCACGGACTGGCCATTCTTGCTTCCAACCGCGCATTTTCAGGACTCTAGTCAGAATATCTTTCGGATTCCGCAACACCATTCACTGGGAGCAACTTGCCATTGATGAGCTTGATGTCGATTATGATGTCTTTCCATTGGATCAGCAACGTCAACCACTTCTTTCCAAAAGCTTCTATGATGCCTATCGCAGGTTCGCAGTCAGTATCATTTCAGCTCTTGATACACTTCTTGAGTAACTCACTGTCAGCTTCTGGAACATCATAATAATAGTCGAGGACCAAGGTCCAGAGCAAGATATCATGGACGGTGTATCTTATATCCTCAATGTTGTTGGCGTCCTTAATCTTGGTCTCTCGAAACCGACTATGAAGCTTCCATATTTCCTGCCATTCCTTAAAGTCATCGATATCCATGTCTTTCTCCTCCATGCCCAAAAGTACGAGTTCGTTCAGTCTCTCCCAGGGGTAGTCTCCACCTAGAAGACGGTTATAGTGAAAGAAGCATTCGTCGTCTGAAAGTTCCATTACTTCGGCGAGGTCGGGCCAGTCTTCGTCTATTGCTGGTGCGTCAGCATTCGGGGAGGCTGAATTAGTATCGTTCAATACTTGATTGCTCTGCTGAGGGGCAGTCTCGCTGGTAGCCTCTTCACTAGCATAATGATTTGGGAACGGAAAAGCTTCGTATTTATAGTCTCTCTTTAAGAGATGGCTAATGTCACGAGGATTTTTCGGTTCTTCTTCTAACTCTGACTCTGGAGCACCATCTTTCACGAGGAAAAAGCCCAGTCCCTGGAAAATGAATGGAAATGTCCTTTCTTTGATATTTATTTCCCTAGCGTCCGTGTTTGGTTCCATGTTCAAAGTGCGTTATGCCTTTCGATATTGTCCTATCGCGTTGATTGGGAGATGTTTTGAGGTGCAGTTGAACAAGAAGTCTGGGTGGGAGTGTGGGTTTTTTATATTAGATTCTGCTGAGGGCATAAAAGCTAGCAGCATAATGCATTATATTTTCTGTGAATGGCTTCTTTATTATGAATGATGAAACTTACTCGCTCAGTCCTTCTCTCTTCGATTGTATCAAGTGAATTCCTGGAACCGAATTCAATATTACTCTCGGAAGGGAAAGTCAAAGGACAGGACCACCTCCAGTCACCAAGTTATGGCTACGAATGAGTCACAAACGGCTGAAACTCGCTTGTTATTCACAGTCTCGGCTTTTGAGTTTACTAGAACAAGTGAAGAATCAAGATACATTCAGGCATAAGAACTCGCGTCTCCACCATCGAGATCCTACTTCGCTCAGTATCCTCGCACACTTGCTAATGTCCTCAACCAGAGATGTCCAACTGGAACAATAAATATGGAACAGGGGGCAGATCCCCCACTACCTCGAGTAACGCAGACGGTTTTACTGGTTTCAAAGACCTGGGACCACGAGATACAGCTCGACATATCCACAGGTTTGACAACATAAATCTCTCGCCAACACCAGGACCTACTGAAACAAGTCCACTGGAATCATGGATCAATGAATATGACAGTGGGAAAGCTGCGAGCGGCCGCGGTACTCCATCCGTTACATCTGCCTATTCACGATTGACTTTCGTAGCAGCCGTGGCTCCGCCGACTTCGGGAACGGCAAGTCCATCGAAATCACCTGGATATGATCTACCAGTTTCGGCAATAAACCAGACGATCTCTCCGAAGGCTTCTCAACAAGATATTGCAAGTCCATCTTCGTACAAGCAACCGAGATATAGGCCGCTGCTTTCAAGATTCAAAACACCTCCAGGACCCACTTCACCCAATCCATCAACAAATGTGGGTGCCGATCCAAGCTCAAACTCGGCGTCCTACATCTCTGATAGAGATAACCTAAAGTCTTCAAACTTCACAGGCCCTATGCGATCTGAACCTGCTCCACCTCGTACAGCTTTCACCAATGCCGTCGACCCAGGGCCAACTAACTCGGATGCGTTCCCTGGCTATTCAACTAGAGTATTCAAAAATCTAACATTAAGGCCAATTCCACAACTCAAATTCCCGAGCCAACCTCCCTCGCTCCCAGTCAACTCTTGGGACTCAGCATCGTTGACGCGGTACTGGACCCAAGACCTAGTCCGGACCGCCATCTTGCGAATCATGGGTGAGCTCAACCTCGATTTCTACGAAGACAACTACAGATTCTTTGACTTCGACGGCAGTCCACAGGTAGTTGAGAAGTTATGGCAAGAAACCATGCTAGTTTATACACAGTTTATCAACTCGTACGTATACGGTTTGGATATATTGACACTTATCGCGATGCATGAGAGCGCCTTGAATGGCGGTCCGCTGGCAAACATCAATGCCGTGTTGGCGGACATGATTTGCTTCTTCGCGGCTGGAAAAATTGGTATGGAGAAGAGAGCTGAGGATATGGCGCAGGCTCTTATATCTGGAGGTAAATTCCCAGCTTGGTTGGAGGGAAGTGTCTGAGAAGCTAATGCTTGAACTACAGGTGAAATAGTTTGTTTTGTCAGCCGTAGGTGTGCTGAGAATGGATTGGAGTATCCTGGTGGGATTGGGAGAACCGAGGATAGAGTCATGCAGGCTTGCATTCAGGGGACTTTCCGGAGTGGTTGATGAATGCATGGAGGCACCGACTGAAAGTGATGCGTGGGTTTACTTAAATGCGAGGATCATTGATGATGCATGCGGGGCTTTGTAGTTTTAAATTAAATTAATACTCTTTACTAGAAGACATCCACGAAATCAACATAATGGAAGCCAAGTGACCATGTGATTCAAAATGTATCAGCAAACCGACAGTTCTGAAATTAAAAGCGGACGCGATTCATCTATGCTCCTTATAAATCATACAACTTTGTAGAACTCTTTCCATCTCATTTTCCTTGAACAGATCTCTTCTGTGAAGACAACTCAGGAAACAAAATACAAAGGCAGAGACGCAATAATACCACTGCAAGCAGTCACTCGTCTCCTCTAGAATGGAAAAACCAGATCACAAAACTACCAGACAAGTGATCTTCGAAGAGAAAGAGTTCCTTCAAGTAGCATTCATCGTCGGCGTCGCACGTAAGCGTAACCATTTTCCTTCCCCATCCTCCCACCCAAGAAATTCTCCCTTCACTCACAAACCGCTGACTCGTCTTACTTCAAGATGGAAGAGGGATGCTCAAAGAGCCTATCATAACGCGTTGGAAGACTTTTCTTAAATATTACGTGCCCGAAATATATAAAATCGACCGCTTCACATCGAGCCAATATAAGCTGGTTTTCGACCTCATCAAAGATATTGCGGAATTCGCCAAGAAGTATAAAGAGGCTGCGCCAGAGCATATTTTAGAGGCGGAGAAGGCAGCTCCGAAGGAGAGATGGAAGGCGCCGACGGGTCTTGAGAAGTGGATCGACAAGACTTGGGATTTTGAGATTAGGTGGTGATGAGGGAGAGGCGTGAGGGGAACGACTTTGGGGATGGGGAGGCGCCGTTGAGCTGTAGCCTGGGTTGAGAAGAAAAGTTCTTTCGTAAGAAATGCTTAGCCATAGAAATGGAAATTGTGCGAGCCAGCTAAAGACAATGTGTGACAATTCATGCACACCCTTTCGACCCCTTCCGCTCATATTTTCGGGCAGTGAGGTTCGTTGCCCTCGTCTTCGGCTTCAAGTTTCGTTAAGGCATAAAGCAACGCACTCGCATGTAGTCTGCTGCGAGGAATCTAGTTTCTCTACATCTAGGTACCATTCGCTCAGGCGTCAATACCGAGAATTATCCCGTGTGCTGTACAATGCGTGCTCGGGCTCTCCCACCAAACCTCTTGTTCACACCGCTGAATCTGAGCTCCTTTGCACATCACGCGGATACATCGCACTCTTCGATTCCATCCAGGCTGATTTTCCCAATGGCGATATCAATTAATGGCCACAATCTCTTCCTTTCGGCCATCGGGCCGGATCGCATCCCAGGAACACCACTTGTGATTCTAGTGTCTGACATTGGAGGCTCATCATCGCCATGGCCGTTGGTAATCTGGCACCTCTCACCCTTCGTTCGAATTTACATCCACGATCGTGCTGGTTTTGGAAAGTCTGAAGTCAACCCTCTGGCCAACAATCGCAGACCGAAAACTTATGCTGAGAAGGCAGCAGAGGATCTGGATAAACTGCTTCAGAAGGTAGGTGTTGAAGATCCATTCATTCTAGTACCAATGTTTTGGGGGGGGACTTGTTGCCAGAGAATTCTTGGAGCAGAGGAAAGAAGTCGTCGTTGGCATGGTGTTGATCGAATGCGTCCAGGAAAGGATGAATAAGAACAATCCAATTGATGCTCCGAATACGATGGCGTTCTTAAAGAGGACTCAACTTCTTTGAAATCGTCAGATTGCACAAGAGGCAGAGATTGGCCCTGGCAGAATGGCAAGGTTGTGAGACTTTGATCCTGACAGCAAGCAATGCTAAATCATGGCGCAGGCACAAATACTTGAAATGGCAGAAAATGGCACATAAATGGCTATTGAACGCTTCGCATGGCGCTCACGGAACGGAAACTTGGCAAGAAGAATCAGTTTGAGAAACAAATTCTCGCCAACACACCCGCCAGGTTCATCAAAGGCAACGCGGCTCGAGAGTATCAACAGGTATATAACGCTAGTATGGCAGTAGGTAACGGCACAGAGGGGCGGCGGGCGATAGTTTTGAAGGTGCTTGAAAGAATGCCAGAAAAGGAAAACATGTTACAGCGTGAACTGAAATTGCCATCGGTCTCTCGCTTCGTGCAATGAGAGAAACTTGGTCACTTGGTCTTTTTGGAGGAGCCAAAAGCAATCGCTGCGGAGGCGCAATGGGTTTTGGAGACTTCCATGCAATAGAAACGACAAAGGCGGAGTGTTTGGGCACAGGGGTCGAAGAAAGCAATGGCAATATTCCAGCTGGGTCGAATTAAGAACCCGGAGACATTCTTGAAGATCCAGGACCTAGTCCTCCGTAAACATTCATACATTGGAGAAGGCATCTATCCTTGGTTCGTCTTAATATACACATCAGGTCCAAATCTAGTCCATCTTTCCACCGGTCAACTCCTCCGCAATCTTCTTCATTCTCTGCCCTGTAATTTGAGCAGGGCCAGAATGGAAGCTCACTGCTTTCTTCTCCGTCTTGTTGATCGACGCCAACATGTCCTGAATACTGAGTGGGGCCGCTCTGTCCCATATGTTGTCAGATTCGCCTTCACGTGGTTCCTTGAATATCTCCTCGATCTTCGCGTCTAATTGCTCTTCGGTCGTGATGAATGATCGAGCCTGCATATACAGTGTGTGTAAAGCGTTCTTCCGTTGTTCCTCCCTGGCAGCTTCCTTGGCTTGAACCCGAGCAGATTTCTCCGCTACCCGAGTTTCACGATTCGGATCTGGAATAGGACCTGACTGGAGAATTCGATTGGCTTCTTTGATCGTGGGGTCTGTCAACCGTTCATCCTCTCGCTGAGGTGCACGAAGTCGTCTGTTCCGGTCCTCTTGCTTAATTTTGCTTCGAACAGCAACCGCCCCATCATGATCCTTCTTCCTCTTGTATAATTCAACCAGACCTTCCCGCAGATTCGTCCTCCTCGAAGCAGCCATTCGCCGTTTCCATGCTACATATTCGTTCGTAGGTTCGCGTTGCTCCTTTGGCTCCTTCGTGAGGGCATCCAAGTACTTTTTGGATGTCTTTCGGAGAGCTCGTGCGGGGAAAAGATTTCGAGGAGGGGGAAGTGTTCCTTTGATATCGAGTTTCTGGCGGGCTTGAGGTTGAGGTGTAGTTGGAACTTCGATAAACTTTGGGCTCACGGGGCTAATTGCTGTAAGGGGGCTGCTCGTGGCGAATGATCTGTGAGCAATTGAGGTGATTGAGCATTGACATCGTGCCAATGAATTCAGGGACTTGGCTGATAGAGATGGCCCACGCATCGTTGCGGTTCGCACACAGAATTGGCGTGGTGCAGTTTGTTGAAGTTCAATGTCCCGAGGACGAACTTCAATTTTTAGCGTGAAGCTAAGGAGGTCAAGCCACAGAATTTAGCCTTAGCGTGTTTAGCCACATTCAGCCACACGAGAAGAAAATGTTGAAAAAACATTTCCCCACCAAGTTGCAATTTCAACCTTCACCAACGCAGCCATGGGTACCGGAAAGAAGGAAAAGAATCGCAAGATTCGGGAGGGGAAGGTCGGAGATGGTATGGCCAATGTCAAAGTCAAGGGGGAGAACTTCTACAGAAGCGCCAAAAAGGTCAAGGCTTTGAACGTCCTGACAAAAGGCACTGCGCAGCACAATGCCAGGGGGATCGAGACCAAAGCTGCAGCTTTCCAGTCCAAACAAGTTCCTCAAGCACGCGTTGAACCGAACAGAAAAGCCAGTATATCCGGGTGCGTTGCGTCGAGAAAAGAGCTAACTTCAAGCAGTGGTTTTCGAACAGCCGAGTAATTTCCCAAGATGCCCTCACGAACTTCAGAGAAGCCATAGCTGAGCGAGCTTCAGACCCATACAGGTAGGCTCTTTCCTATTTGAATTTGCTATTCTTCGTTTGAGAGCTCAATACCAGTGACTTTTTTGGGGGCCGCCGTGCCAATTTGTCTCGGGAGCTGGGCCTCAGCTCCTTAGCCCTCTTTCACAAATCTCGAAAACTGCATACTAATTCAATTGTTAGTGTACTTCTGAAGAGCAACAAATTACCAATGACTTTGATTCGAGATGGGCAAGGGAAGAATGGAATAAAGGAACACCAGGCCAAGATGACTGTGGAGGCCACACCGTTCGCAGACACTTTTGGACCCAAGGCACAAAGAAAACGAGTAAAGATTGGAGTCAGCTCGTTGGAAGATATGGCAGACCACAGTGTCAAGAGCCACGATACATATCTCGACCGCCTGGAACAAGCAAAATTACTGAGCGGAAACTCTGGAGCTGAAGCTGAAGCGATTGGAGAGGCGGGAATACCCGATGATGGACATATCACCAGTGCTAGAGAGGCAATCTTCAATAAGGGACAAAGCAAGCGAATATGGAACGAGCTATACAAGGTCATCGACTCCTCGGATGTTGTTATTCACGTCCTGGATGCCCGAGATCCCCTCGGAACACGATGTCGAAGTGTCGAAAAATACATTCGAGAGGAAGCACCACACAAGCACTTAATTTTCGTACTGAATAAGTGCGATTTGGTGCCTACAGGTGTTGCTGTAGGTACCCCTTTTCTCCGAATTCTGTTCCCCAGTTCCATCGTTAAGTCAAGGCTCCTTCTGCATTTGCGTGCTCTTCACAATGGAAGGCCGTCTGTTACAACTTTGGTAGATTAAATCCATTCTCGCCGCTCTTGACTTCCGGGTCTCGAGTAGATAGCTCACCGTCTTGGGGAGTCTGTCGTAAAGAGTTTGGCAGTGTTTCGTTTGAGTTGAAATCCACTTCTGCCCTTATGTTGGTGGCTTGTGGTGGTTTTCTTAGTAATGATTCATACATAACTATATTTCAAGCTTTTATGTTTGCAAATACTAACAATTCTCAGGCCTCGTGGGTCAGATATCTCTCAAAAGACTATCCAACACTTGCATTTCACGCGTCTATCACAAACTCATTCGGCAAAGGTTCTCTTATCCAACTGCTACGACAATTCTCCTCCCTCCACTCCGACCGCAAACAAATTTCTGTTGGGTTCATCGGCTACCCCAACACAGGAAAATCCTCTATCATAAATACACTCCGGAAAAAGAAGGTCTGCACCGTCGCGCCAATACCAGGAGAAACCAAGATTTGGCAATACATTACGCTCATGAAGCGAATTTACCTTATCGACTGTCCAGGAGTCGTTCCTCCCAGCAACACAGACACACCACAAGATATCTTATTACGAGGTGTTGTCCGAGTCGAAAATGTTGAGAACCCAGAACAATATATCCCAGCCGTGCTCAACAAAACCAAGCCACAGCACATTGAGAGAACATATCAAATTAAAGGTTACAACGATCACATAGAATTCTTGGAGAAGCTGGCGAGAAAAGGAGGAAGACTTCTTCATGGCGGGGAACCAGATGTTGATGGTGTGGCTAAGATGGTTTTAAATGATTTCTTGAGAGGCAAGATTCCGTGGTTCACGCCTCCGCCAATTATTGAGGGTGCTGAGGAGAAGGGCGTCAAGGGTCGGCAGGGTAGATTAGGAGAGATGGGAAAGAAGAGGAAGCGAGATGATGAATCGGTAGCGGATACTTCAGTCGCGGATCGTGCATCAACAACACAAGGTGAAGTCGAAGCAGCAAATGATGATGAAGAATTTGCAGGCTTCGATAGCGATGGTGGTGTTGAGTTGGACGATATTACCGGTGACGTTGATGATGCTTTCGGCCTTGACTCGGACGAAGAGGGCAGTGAAGTTGGCTCGGATGATGGAGAGGAGGAAGGTGGTGCGGAAGATGAGGCAGATGATGCGGCTGAAGAACAGCTGCAAGATGAGCTTGAGGACGATGTGGAGATCTCGAAGCAAGAAGACGGGAGACTGACCAAGAAGAAACGTCAAAAGACTTAGAGCATAACAAAAAGACCACATTTGCCCATTTCTTCCGTCTATCTACTGCTTGTGCCAGCTATATCTGCCAAACCTGCTCCGAGTTTTACTATAAGAACCTCCCGCCAAGTGGTCAGTGTGAAAAGGGCTGGTGTGCGAGCATGACTAAGCACCGCTTTCCTCACTTGGTGCACTGCCCCTTCGGGTTTAGTTACAAGCTATCAATTCCGACCTCGCCTAAACCTCACTTCACTTCCTTCACTACACTCTACTTTCTTTCAGCCTTCCACAATAAACAGTGTTCTCGCAGCCCCCTTGCACTGTGCTTGCCAATTTTCATTTTCATTTTCTTATTCTTTCTAATCGCTCCTAGTTGTCCCATGCCGATTGCAAACATTTTTTAACCTCGTATTTCCCCCACAACTCCTCTCGAGTCCCGATGGTGTCCCCTGAAAGGCTGAACATTCATTCACATATGAACCTCTCATTATTATGGCGCTTGAATATTCTCAATGTCAGATCTTCATGAAGACGGCCCGGATTGTGACATTGCAAGCTCAAAACACAATAAAAGTAAAACCGTCTCTTCTGACAAAGAGCAACAAAGGCAAGAACTGCCACTGTGCCTGTTCCCCAATGGAAACCCCGCCCCCCCATCACTTCCCACTAAATTTGAGATGCAGCTCAGGTCTATACTTCAAGTTTCCTAGAATCACAATGCTGCTTTGCGAAGGCTACTCGCTTTCCTCCATTTCGTTGACGTTGAGCGGGCTATGCTACAAAATCTGAGTCCAGTCCTTAGTAGCCTTGCCTAAACTATTTAAATATGGTACGCAATTTCGTTAGCCGCTGCTAAATGTTTCCACTGTGAAAATTTTTCAAGATCACCTGCTGTTTGGCTCTCTCCCATTCAGGGGTTGTTTATGAGCTCTATCGAGCTCCTTCCGAATCCGCGGAAGGCACGAGGCACGAAGGATCGTTCAGAAGACAATTCGAGACTTTAAAAAGTAGGATCATTCTCCTCGATAACAATTTCATTGCCCCGACTTTCCCACAGAATGGTTGAGGAGGTGAATTGTGTTCACATTCACTCTGCACATTCACTTGTCCAAAACCTCCGGCACCGGACTTCTTAAAGCTCCCTTTCTCGTCATCGGCGTGTCTCGCTTGTTACTCAACCACTTCAATATCAAAAGACCATTTTCGGATCAGTCCTCTTCATCCCTCGACAACTTCGATCTACACACTAAACCTGTTACTTCAACAATAATTACATAATTCAAATCACCAACAGCCAGTCAAACGAGCCAATCCTATGGCATCCTCGTCAGTATGTTCTGACGAGGCGCACGCGAGGGAAGGTGCCGGCTCCCCGGGTATGTCCAGCGTCACCAGCCTCGAAACACACGACTCTACGGGTCCTCATCTCGGTACTGTCCTCGTTGTAGGTGGCTGTGGCTTCCTCGGACACCATGTCGTCAAGTTCTTGCTCGATGAACCAAGCTGCACCTCTGTCGCTGTTATGTCGCGTCGTCCCACTACAAAGCACTTCCCAGGCGTTACATACCACATCGGCGACATCACCAACATCGAGCAAGTCCGTCTCGTCTTGGAGCAAGTCAAACCTCACGTCATCATCAATACTGCGTCCCCTCACGCATACATCGATCACTCTCTTGTCCCCCAGACCTTCCGTGTCAACATCGAAGGCAATCAAAATCTTCTCGAAGTAGCTGCCGAGGTTGGAACCGTCAAGGCATATGTGTACACCTCCTCTGGACCTATCATCGCCGGAACTGGTGGAGCATATGACCACGCTGACGAAAACTACCCAACCTTGGCCGTGCCCGTCATTCGCAAAGGAGACCCTTACCACGTTGCCAAGGCTATTGGTGACAAGTTGGTTCTGGAGGCAAACGGCAAGAATGGTATCCGTACCTGCACCGTCCGACCAACAGCACTCTACGGTGAGGGTGACTTCCAGAATGTGGTTCCCACCATGCAAGCTTTGGAGGATGGCAACCACAAGATCTGGATGGGCTACAACGACATCTTCATGGATGTTGTCTATGTAGGCCACGTCGCCAGACTCGAGCTCCTTGCTGCGAAAGCTCTTCTTGCTGGTATCACCGATCCAACTGCCCCCAAGGTTGACGGAGAAGCCTTCAACATTACCGATGACCAGCCCGCCTACCCTCTCAACTTCTTCCGCAAGTATTGGGCAATCGCTGGTGATAAGACTCCTCTCTCTAGCGTTTGGTTGATCCCTCCCCCAGTCGTCATGTTCCTTGCCAACAGTGCTGAGTTCATTACTTGGGCTATGAGCTGGGGAAAGAAGAGACCTAAGCTGTTGATCAAGGAGCGTATGGAGTTCATTCTCTATACTCGTACCTATTCGATCAAGAAGGCTCGTGAGCGCTTGGGATTCAAGCCGTGGGAGAAGCAACCGTATGCCAACCAAGACGAAGCAACCAAGGGTTCGGTTGAGTGGTTCTTGTTGCCGGAAAACCATGGACCTGTTCGTATTGGTGGCGAGTATCCATCCTGGTGAGCATGACTTCACTGTTACTATGAAGTTGTCAATTATTAACTTTCGTAGGCCCGAGACCCCCTTCCGCTTGATCTCTGATACTGGCACATCGACCATTCCTAAGATCCCCCACGATCACCACTGCATCAAGAATGCCCAAGTCATGGCTATGACTCACAACACCTTCTTCCGCGCCCTCAACGCAATCTACCAACAGGCACCTCATATCACCCCGGGAACACAACAAGCAGCCGATTTCCTCAAGTATTGCTGTATCGCCTATGATTTCATCCACCACCACCAACTCGGCGAGGAGTTGACCTACTTCCCTGAAATCGAGAAGGCCACGGGTATTCCGGGTCTGATGGAGGCCAACATGGTCCAGCATCACACCATGGAAGCTGGTCTCGAGGAGTTCCGCAAATATTCCGAGAGCACCAGAAAGGAGGACTTCAGCAGTGAGGAGCTTCGTCGTATCATCGATGGTTTCGCGACTGTCTTCGAGCAACACAACCATGACGAAATCCAGACGATCTTGAATCTGCACGATAAGATTGACTCGAAGACTCTCAAGACCATTGCTACCAAGTTCTTTAAGGAGTCTGAGAAGCAGAGTGATATCTTCAAGTAAGCCCCCTTTGTAATCTCTCTCCGAATTCGTACTCATTTGTGAAGGATCTCACCCTTCGTCATGGGCTGCCAAGACATGAGCTTCCTCTTGGACGGTGAGAAGCACCGCTTCCCTGATGTCCCGGCCGTCGTTCCGTACATCGTTGATTTCGTCCTTTCCGGCCGCCACAAGGAGGTCTGGCAGTTCAGTCCGAGCACGCAATACGGCAAGCCTCGCCCTCTTCCAGCTCCAGCCGGTGACAAGACAGTGAAGATCAAGGCGACGACATTGCCCGCCACTCCTTCCCAGGACCACGGCCTGCTCGTCCCTGCGATTTTGGCTGCCGTACTCGCTATTCTACTCGCTTTCTACTTCTTTGATCGACTTTTAGTCGATCTTCGGCAGAGGTGTTCCTACTGAACTCTTATTTGACATTTCTCGTCTGGGTATGTCCTGGAGTGCTTTGGGGGAACACGTCTCGAGACACAGGGGAATCATTTTCTCTTTCTTTCGTTCGGATGAGATGTCGGTACGTTTTGATGGCGAATTTGAGCATTTCCTCCTCTTTGCACGTCGATACTACTGCATCCATTTCATTTCGCTTTCATTTGTCATGGTCATTGCGACGTAAGCAGCTAGGAATATAGCGTCGCTGAAATGGTTGCTCCTCTTATTAGAGAACTCCGCAGATTAGCTAGCTAGCCAACAATGACAACATGCTTAAGACACTTGTCCAGGTCGCTGTCTTTGCTCTGCCACTTTCGATATTCAAATGGAGTAGCTTCTTGTTCATCCTTACGGGTCGCCGAGAAGGCCCGCTGACGAGGGAGATCAAGAACTACATTCAAGTAAGAGGAAGATGAGGAATGGGTCAAGTAAAGCAATAAGCATCGCTAGCTCCACAAAAGATTTTGAATGCTGTTAAGGTAGAAGGTTCAGGTTCAAGTAAAATGGAGTCAAGGTATCTCTAGTCACGTGCTAGACACGCTCACTAATCGGCGCGTGTCTTCAACAACACCAAACGCGACGACGGACGACCATCAAGAGAGCCTTCATCATTCAACGCTGCCATTCTCCCACATTATGGCGTGTAAGATTTCAGTCTGGACGATGAATGACAGTGCTAATTCATTGCAGCGCGTGAAGAGAGATTACAGGCAAGGTTGCGCGGCGCACAGTAAGTACAAGCAACGCCCCACCTTGGACAAATCCCTGACGACAGTAAATAGGAGGCGTCAAGTTAAAGATGTTGACTTCGGACTCGTATTTCCTGCTGCTGCTGCTGCTGCTGCTACTGCTCCATTGCAGCCAGTCCCTTCGAATCGACGAACACCTCAGCCAGATTTATCCCCACCATCCGAGTTGCCTGCCCAACGATCCAGTCGACGAACACCCGCCAACCGCGAACAACCAGTAGATTCCGGAGCTGTAGAAGCAAATAATCTACAAGTGATCATACATAGCGCAAATGACGCAAATACATCTGCGAAGAGGAGAAAGCTCGATACCGATGCACCGCCCTCATCCTCCGCAAGAAGCACTCGATCATCTCAACCCAGACCAGACATATATACAATCCATGATGATGTGCAGCAAGAGCCATCAGCCCTGGAGGCGTCTAATGCCTCAATTGAGGAGTCTACGGTTATTGAGACTATACCCGAGACAATAATACCGCCCCCGCGAACCGCCAGAACACCCTCTCGAACGCAAGAAGAGATTACGGAGAGTCCTATAGACGCACCCGGAAGTGGCCATAGGACACGCGTTTCTGTTTTGGAAGCAAGCATTGCAAGTTCGGATTTACAGGCGGAATTGGAAGGTAGTTCGGCCATTGAGACACCCATTCCTCAAAATCAAAGAAAGCGCAAAAGAGGAGACGAGGCGACGAAGCTATCTACACATCCATCACGATCACAGCCCGTTCAAGCTTCTTCTGCAGCAGATGACGAACTGGACGAACTGTCTCCGGAGCAACCAGAGAGACGTGGTTGGAGGAAGGTGGTTGAGCATTCCCCTGAGCTGGAAGAACCAGTCGAAGAGGAAGAGGCTGAGGCTATCGACGACGAACAAGCTGCTGTTATGCTCAAGAAGAATCGTGGACGGCGAATATCGAGACATGTACCCGAGGAGTCTCCCGATCTGGATAGCCCTGTAGCCCCAAGACAACCTGTCTTGAAGAAACTAAAGGGGAAGTCTCGTCCGGCTTCCAGCCCGGCCAAACAAAGCCATCCCAAGCAGCCATCGGTGAAGACGAAATCAAAGATGTCCAAGAAGCCGAAAGTCCGCATTGGCAGTCCTATTCCAGTTACTGTCCACCGATTGAGCCGAGCACCATTGTACGACGAAGATGAACTTCATGCAGATATTTTGAATGCGGAAATTCCTCGTACGAAGCGAGGTGGTGTGAACGCCATCGACGTTCTCAGCCAAATTTGCCAGGAAATTATAGGTGCTGGGTTGGACACCTTAGAAGATGGATGCAACAGATGTGAAGATCCAATTTTGAGGCGTGAGTACAAAACGAAATTACGAGCTGTCGAGGCTTTTGGGGATGAGTTACAGACACGATTACTGGACCATGTGAGTTTTGAAACCCATGCACTGACCAACCGCTAATCATGGCCATAGACAATAAATTTGGACAATTCGCATTCTCTTGCGCAGCGACTTCGAGACGAACAGAAGAAGAAGCTGGGTCTGCGAGAGGAGATTCTTCGAATCCGAGCAGAACGGGAGCAAGTGGCCCTGAAGATGGATGAAATTCGAATCAGGCATGGAAATGAGACAAAGAAAGCTCAGGTAAGATTTCTCCTTCTGTATACTTTGATACCGCTAACCTCTTGGATAGGAGAGGGATACACTCAATACAACCGTACATGATATCGAGTTAGCCATCGACCTCGGAAAGTCTTCGCATACCGATTATGACGGAGAAATGATCGGTACGGAGGTCCTTCTAAAGCGAGTTGCAGACGAAGTCAGCAACAACAGCGATTCTGGAGGCATCTTGAAGCAAATTAAGGACTTTAATGCTTTCCTCGAACGAGCAGCATTGGCATTGGAGTCTCGGAAGGGTTAAGCTATAGGAGGGAAGGATGAAGAAGAAGTAGAGATACCCATTTTGAACGACTTTATGAATGAACCGGATAAAGGTAGAATTCAAAAATGATTCCCTTTCTATTTCACCTGTGTGCGCATGTATCAAGTCTAAAACCCGGGGTGCCATCGCCTTACCCTTGGCTTTCAAGGCGCGATTGTATTTTCTATCCCCTCCTCCACCAGCTCTTTTCATTTCCTTGGTAGGCTTGCTTTGTAGACTTTCAAATCCATTTTCTGCCCTATATATACTCTTCCTTTGAGCTCTCTCTCAAATGAACTCTCGCGGCCAGCGCTTCGTGTCGAGGCACCCATACCTCGAAGCTTTTCACGCACGAGACTTGCCCAAACGACTTCACACCCCAGATATTCCTAGTCACCCTGCCATCACTCACCGTCAGCAAGAGCGCGCCTTGATGCTCAACAGAAGCTGATATCCTTTACTGGCAAAGGTTGCGGGCCGGGCCGAGATTTCGGTCATGGCTTGCCTGCTGACGGGATTTATGACACAGAACAACGATTTTTGGTTTCCGGCACGCACAAAAGAGTATCATAAAACCTTCCTTACATTTGACTTTGCCCTCGCTCGCTTCGCCCAGTGGTTTTCGGCTCCGGATGGCTTCGAAATGCTTGCAAAAAAGCTTGCGAAACCGAATCGGTCGCGCGAGCAAAAGTGAACACTGGTTGGAGAATTCACTGCGCAACCAAATTTTGGGTCGAGGAGTTAAGTCGGCAGAAAATACGGAGGTGCCTTGACTCTCCTTGCCGCTCATACTGAGGTCTATACTCAACATGTTAGGATTACGAGTGCCAGATATAAATAAACAAGAGGCCTCCACGCGTCGATACAAAAAATCTTTTTTAATTATTTAAGTACCTCTTTTGGGGACGATAGGGTTCCTTGTTTTGTGGGAGTTGTTCCGTGGGTTGAGGGTGGTGCTCATTCCGTGAGATGTACTGTTCGATGATGAAGGTGCAAGCGAGCTCTCTTCGACGAGGAAGACGAGCCTGAACATCATTTGGCTCTTGAGCCCATTGAGGAAGAAATAACCGGTTATCATGCGGAGCCGTTACTTCACTTTGCTCTTCCGATACTATGCAAGGTCATTGAATGTTGGAGACGGCGCTATTGTGTGTTCACTATCGCGAAGGCTCCTGCCGTATCCAACTCCTTCGAAAGCCTGAGGGTCGATGAAGGGGATAAGGCTAGCCCATAAACGGATTGGATGGCGTCGGAGTTGAGTTCCATACGCTTCAAACATGGCAGGAAAACATGTGCGTTTCGCTCCCCATCCGTCACGTTAAATCTCCACCTGACAAGAAATAGCCAGTCAACCAGAGGTTTACATATTTCATGCCGCTTGCTCCAAGTAACGGGGCTTTTGAGCTGGACAGGAAGACCGGATATTCGAAGGATGACTGGTTGATGAGGTTTGGGTCCATTCATAGTGATCACATCTTCAAGAGATGCCAGAAGTACATCCCGGTCCCCGTCCAAGTGCACGCCCCCTAGGCTACCGAAATCAACACCAGAATCTAGAGAAACCCATAGCTAAGTCGGGGCGGTAATTACCAACCTAGCGGCACTGCCGGAAGGACGATGCCACAATAATTCTGTCAGCAGAAAAGGCTCCAAAACACACCAGACGTTTCGCTATCCCGTCGATCTCTGAATTAAGCGAATCACACCCGACAGGGCTATCAGCTTGTCGTTTTGCACAGTTGATTTGGCACGAGTATACCGTGCCAAGATTTTCTCCCATAGCCTCCAGATTTTCCGCCCCCCTTCGAGATTTGCCCATCAGCCACGCGCTGAAGAATCAAAGAATAAAATTCTCCCTTGGGCGTTAGCTCCGTAATCGTACGAGACATGCCAAATTCATCCTGATATTGCTCTCGGCATTCCTAGAAAACGATGAAGCCAAAGCTGAGTGTCGGAAGCAGAAGTCGCTCCTGCATCACCCAACCTCTCTTGTGTAGGGCAGACTCCTCAAAACAAGGGTTAAATGAGCGCAGCAGACTGGGTCCCCAACATTCAGAGTTGATTTGGGAGCCGGGTATTTTCGTCTGCTGAGATCCTCTGAACATATCACCGGGCTGGTGGAAGAGAGGGTCTCGTCGGGCGAACAATCTCTGATACTCAATATAGACTTTTGCGAGCCTGAAATTGTGTATTATTTAGGTGGAAAGTGGAAGTCTTGTGGTGGAATGCAAACTCTCACTTAAGTGCGAAGGTCGTGACCAACCCCGTGAATGTTCCAATCACTCAAGACTTTCTAAGTACGAACGTGGAAAGACAGAGGGATCCTAACAAGATTTTTGTCTTCAAATATTCGACAAACAATGTACAGCGTTTGTGTTAATGGTTAATGCAAGTCTTGGCATGCTCAACTCGATGAAATCCGACACTCCACCACTCATGTATCGTCACTTAGCCACATACAGCTACCTGCTCTGGAACATCTCTCGTCACTCTATTATTAGTCATTCCATTACACATATCGAAAAACGTTGAGGATGGCTCATAATAGAAGTAAAAACGCATCAGAAAATGTTGGCAACTTTCAAGATAAAAAGCGGTCAGCTCTATATAGGCGAGGTCAATTTTTGCTATATACGGAGGGCTGCATCACATAGAAAGACGTTGTTTCTCGAGAGCCGCTTCAAGGCGCTTTGCGGAACTGCTTCCCTCACCCAAGCTTCTATAGCACGCCAGCAGGGCTTGCTCGAACCACGGTTCAGCATCGTTCCATATCCCATCACTTTCATAGAAGAGGCCGATCCTCTGAAACAGTAATACTATTTTCGGACTGTCTTTGATTCGAGACCAGTTGCAGAACATTTCCACGACGTTGAGGAGATGTTCAAGAGTTTCTAGGCCTTTGTGCCCATACCGCTGTATGTATTTCCCTGTCATCCAGTCGAAAATGACATCAGCATCCTTCATGCGGCCACAAGAAGCATAGAAAGAAGCTAAGTGATAAGCAACGGCGGCCGTGGCCTCATGTGTTGCTGAATATAGGGATTCAAAACCGGTTAAGGCTTCGCGAAACTTCTTTTCGGCATCTTCGATCATTGAACGACGCTCTAGACTCTGAGCTTCTTGATACACTGCCTCAATGTCTGCCTCTGAGCGACCGTTCCGTAGCAAGTTCGGCTGATGAGAAGCCTGTGCAATTGAACTCGTTGATGCTGGGATGCGTCTAAGTGGCTGACTTGACATTCTAGGTGAAGCAATGTAAAGCGGTGAAGTAGGATCATCGCGTGGGGTAGTATATGTGATGCCGCTCGGAGTTGGTGCATCTATAGAACTATTAAACTGAAATCAATGCAAGGCAGGGAGCTATCATACCAGCCGAGACCACTGTCTCATCCTGTCGTATCTTCTTTCTCTGAAGGCGTTGCTGGATGGATTGCTGTGTGTATGTCTGGCCGCGGTAATCGAAGACCGTGTCCTTCTTCTCTTCATGCTTCCTCTTAGCAGCTTTATTCTCCATCCAGAAGGCTTCTTTCGTTGGTAAGTACTTTGACCAATTCCACTTCTTCAATTGCTTTTTGTATTGCTCGATACTATAAACCTTTAGTAAACTGTTAGTCCAAGCTTTCATGGTAGAATTGAACTCACGAGGGCTCAAACTCAAAGTTTTCAGCCATGGCCTTCATAGTCTCTGGCAGTGTTTTGTTTTCATCAACCCAGAGCCTTTTGATCTCATCGTGGTGCCTTTCCCAATCTGAAGGAGTGAAATTCGGCGCGCGGGGCATGGATTTGCGAGCCTTTGTAGGTTGCTGCGTGGACCGCTCATAAGTCGTATCTGTCTGTATGGTCCCTGTCGCGGAAAAGTGGTGCAGAGGCGGCTGCCGATGTTCAGCAGAAATGGTTTGCACGGGTGGGATGGTGACTGTAAAAGCTGTACCCGATGGGGATGATAAGCTCGGTCGAGTATTTGGTATGTTCTCATAGGCATCGCGATCGCCAAAGAGTGGCCCTGGTGGAACGAAGGAATAGCTTAAAGCGGTACGGGGAGCATCTTCAGCCTCCTCATAATGCCCCGATGACGCTGAAAATTGCGGTGCAGATTGGTTCCAATACCCGCCAAAAGCAAAGTCACTGGAGTTCTGCTGAGATGGCATGGCTGAAGGAAGCATACAGATTCAACGTAAATTGAATAGAGGAGGTTGCTCGGAGGCTAGGTGTCGTGAAGTGGTGAAGTGGTGAAGTGGTGTAAGCGGTGAAGAATCAAAAGCAGAAGAAGGTGCCTCTACATGCAGGCATGTTCGAAAAGACCGAGCCTCATGTCATCATATGCGACAGGAGGAAGAGGCTTGGCCTAGCCGACCCATGACCGTCGTGTTGTACACACCTCCCCCCTCCCCCTTCTTCCCATCATACAAAACCCCCCGGTCAATAATGAAGGCGCAGTTTGGGCGTGGAAAGCCCCACTCTCCGCCTCGGGTCTGGGGGTGCTGCAGCATGTCAATGCACGTTTCGTTTTGCAGGGGATATCGAAGTTTTTTGTGGTCTAAACTAGAAGGTATCACCCACCAACCGCCCAAACCCCCTTTCCGCTCAACTTGGATTTTGGAGACCTTAACGCCACAAAATCGAAAATTAATGTGATCTTCGCAATATTTCGAGTATTCTCTATAATCTAGCAAATTTTTAGAATTTTCCAAAGACTTTGAAAAATCGAGAAAATTTTGGTGGGGTAGGCGTGGGCGGAAAGGGGGTTTGGGCGGTTGGTGGGTGATCCCTTCTAGCCTGCCAAAAGTGTCCAAAAATTTCCCGAAAGTTCGTGCGCGGGGTACGGGCCTTCGCATTGGTTGTTCGAAGTCAGATCCTCACATCTCCCTACAATCCCAGCACAAGCCCCTGCATTACCGCCTTCGACAGCGAAAAATTTACAAAAAGTTCACAAAAAGGTGCATACGCCAGAAATGTTATGTTCCGTGACGCCAACGGACGATTGAATCGATTGATCCAAGGCCCCTGCGCTCTGTGGCGATCGTCTCTAGCGGCATCTTCGAATCGAACCTCGAGGAGCTTAAGCATCGGCAATGACTTCTGTGGAAACTGAAAGAGTCCAACTCGGGAGGCTAATAGACCCAAAAAAAATTTAGCTGAAAGTTTCAGCAAAAGTTCTTTCAAATGTTTTCCCGGAAAACTGTTTCAAAGTCGTCGTTTCCAGCTGTCGGTCCACGGACGAATTCGCGTCATTCCGCGATACTTGCAAGATTTTAGGCGTTGTGAATGAATGCTGTGACTACGACCACATTATAGATTATGCCAAAATGTTTCCCAAAAGTTCTCCCCTCAAGCATCAGTGTGCAGATGTGGATAAAAGCAACAGGTTTTCCTGTCCAAATTGGTGAGAACATTGATGCTCTCACAAATTCTCAAAATCAAACCCCCCACAGACAAGACGGACACTGTTACAATAAACCGAAATTTATTTCGATTAACAGGTGGGTACAATCCAACTCACTGCTGGTCTGGAATGTCAGACTGACAACGGGATGGAATTCAAGGCTTCTGATTTCTGCACTTTATCATCAGGATGGGAAAAGTCATTGCAGCCAGCCCTCTTCAAATGGGTCATGGCCATCAGATTCCAGTGCGTACCATACATACTAAGTGCTTGTGAGAGCACTCATCTACTAATGAAGTATCATAGAAAGCTACCCAAGACTTACAACCCCAAAGAGTTGCTGAAGATGCTTCTTTCAACCATCTTCCGTTACGGCGCGAGTCGCTTGAAGCGGTAGGGAGCCATAGTGGTTCAGGGCCTACCGTCATGCAGCGTTGGCTTCAGGAGTCGATGCGGGATCAGCCGTACCACAACATCGGATCAGTCATTGCCCAGGGTGTCGGACGTCGTGGAGAAGGATGCGCAAATGGTCAACCGCGTTGATCTGTGTATATCAAAGTTTTCGATAGAAGAATGGTCAATTTCTTGTTGCTACACATCGTTACTGCAGTGCCAACCATATGCCGTCCGACTTTGCAAGATTACTTCAAGCAACCGTCCCTAGCATGCATACAATTCAGCCGCATCAACCGCCCATCTTAACAAGAGTCAAGAGTCGAGCATGAGATACTGAAAAGGAGTGTCTGGAATCATTGATCGTGATTAAACCTATTGCGGATTCGGTGTTTCGAAAAACTTTTAGTGTTGTAAACTCGGTCTTTGGTCACGCTGAGGCGCCCTGGACAACTTTTGGTCAAGCAGGGGCAGGGGTCAAGGATCTTGGCCGCTAACGACCTTCCCGCAGCAAGGCAAATCAAGCGCCTACAGTAAAGTGACGCCGCGAACACTTCCCCTACCACACCGCCATCTTACTCGTTGAAGTCGTGTCCTGGAACATAGACTTACAGAACTGTACGCCATGGGTGGGCCAGATCTATTTGTGCTGTGCGACGTGCATCCATTGCACAAATTGGAAGCCTTGGGCATCCCCAATTTTCGTTGAAATTGACCACTGCACTTTACAAACTCTCAAGCCTCTCTCATCGAAGCTGGCATAGGCCTTTTCCGCAGCCTCTGAATCTGTCCTGCAGACGAGGTGACCGTATTTGCTCAAGCCTCGAACTAAGGCCTAAGCTACGAGAGCGCAAGCACTCATCTTGTAAGACGATCTGCATATCCAAAAGCTCTCTAACTTGAAATGGGTTGAGTGAATGAAGCTAACTCCCTCAGTACCACACTCCCTGCATGACCATGGATCTATTCAATATCGCAGAACCAGCCGGCTCCGCCAATGCGAGGGAGAATGCAGACGAGGTTGAAGATACCGCGGGTTTGTCGTGCGAGATGAAGACATATGTAGCAAGGGACTGGGCCACAGGCGGGATACAAACCACCCTGGAAGGAGCTATCCAGAGGTTTGGATACAAACCAAAGGAGAAAGATCACGACTCAGCGTTCGTCTTGACCAAACATTATTTCAGAGACAATAAGGTGGCTAGTCACACACAGTTGGAAGTCAGATCGCCACATGTCAGAGCAGCTTTGCGTGCAGTCATCAAAGAGTACCCCGGAGTAACATTTGATAAGGCAAGAATCATCATGCGCGACGAAACGAGGTGCCTATTCCATTATCGCAACGAACTTCGGGAATATGGGCTCCGTTTGGACGACGGTGTTGCTGTGCAACATCTTGTCTTTATTCTGAATTACATGTACAAAAGTCTCGAGAGTGAGATTTCGAGCTACTACACTTTCATGGAATCTCCATCTGTCGCTCCGGGCATAGACAGCAAACACCTCTGGATGGCTTTCCGTCCCGGCGATCTCATTTACACCAAAATGGACGGCGTTGACAAAATTGTAAGACTCAAATCTACGAGCGGCGGAAGGGGACATAGCCTTTTGCTGCAGGCAGAAGACATTCAATACAATGGAACGGATTATGGGCGTTGCAAAGTGGAGTTATATATCAACGGTTACATGGGATATAAACCCTTGGAAGAGCTCCGATCCTGCCCTCTACAGTATATGCAATGCAAAGACGCCATCACCGCTTCGTTGATCACTAGAGGCAGGAAGTTCCTCGGATTGCGCGGAGTCCACCACCGACATTACGAGGGACTTGCGGAAACGTTGTCTCCATTTCCCGTAATGGCCTACGATAGCGAGGAGGAATACTCCTACCCTCGCCAATCATTAATGGTATAAACCTCATTGTAGAATCATTTTAAGGACGTTGAGCTAACAAAGTGTAGATTAAGAGTCGCGTCATGATTGATTCCACCAAATTTGGCGAAATGAGACCACAATACAAGAAACGTATTGCCCTCGAGGAAGCAATCAAAACTGGGCCAGGAGAGCAGCCTGAACTCTCAGAGGAAGAATTACTAATATGCAGCCACACAATTTCTGGATTCTCTCTTGCCAATAAAAGGTGGTGCTTTCTTTTGCTAGACGCCATCCAGGACTTTGAATACAACACTAGGGCTTTCGAACTTTTGCTCCTCGCTCCGCCCCAGAAGAAGATGATCCATTCTCTGATCAAGATATACAAGGATGGCAGACTTGATTTTGATGATATCATCAAAGGCAAAGGCAAAGGGATGATATTCTTATTTCATGGTGAACCAGGCGTTGGCAAGACCCTAACGGCTGGTCAGTATTTCCCAGTCACGTGAGAAAGGAAACTTAGGTATTGACAATTCTTCAGAAGGTGTGGCAGACTATACACAACGGCCCCTTTACACTGTGACGACGGGTGACCTTGGAGTAGATTCTTCAAAGATAGAACGCGTCTTGCTTGAGGCGCTGCAGCTGGCCGCACATTGGAATGCCATTGTGCTTATCGACGAAGCAGATGTATTCCTGGAACAACGCAGCAGTCATGATTTGACTCGAAACGGCCTCGTAGCAGGTATGATCTTAGATTTCCTACAACATTCTTTGTGGCTAACAAAACAGTCTTTTTGCGTGTCCTTGAATACTACGAGGGCATGATGATCCTCACCACAAATCGCATCTCAACCTTCGATGCCGCATTCAAGTCCCGCATTCATCTCGCAATTAAATATCCTGCATTGTCATTCGCCTTCCGTCGAGACCTTTGGGTCATGTTTGTTACCAACGTACATACACGCCCTCTGCCGCTTTGGTGGGATGATGAATTTCTCAACAGCGTGGCTGCGGAAGCGCTCAATGGCCGACAAATCAAAAACGCCATCCGCACAGCGTACGCCTTAGCCATTGCTGATGGTAGCGAGCTTCGTCCCGAAGATATCAGAATGAGCTTGAAGTCCATCAAGGACTTTGAGGAGGATTTCGCGCAAGACGTTGTTGAGGCCGGGAGGGATGTCGATGTTACTGGACAAGGTGTTGCAGCTTCAGATCACAGATCGAAAAGGCAGAGGCAGGAATAACAAATGAGTTTTCATCTCTAATGTCAGGCGGAAATTTTCCACTAGAGCTCTTAGTTATGGTCACGCTATTGCTTCTTGTGAAATGTTTAAGTATAGACACTATTGGAGAGGAAGCAACTGCAGATGCTGCGACTATAAATGCACTGATAGGGGGATGATAAGGAACAAAAGAATAATCAAAAGGCAGTTAGGGAATTGAATGTATCTCTTTCATCTCTTGCAATTAAATCGCAACGTTTTAGAGAGTGGTACAAATACTTAGAGAGTTTATGTCAGTTGGAAATCACGTAATAGTCCTTCAGCTTGTCAGGGGTCCTACTTCAGCTTGTCTAGGATCAGCTCTAAGGGATGGAATCCTATAGAACAGGCTGGTTTATATATATAGCTGCTTTTGCACCTGCAGAACAGAGCTCTTCAATCGAGTCCTTCCAAACCAACCGCCAGTTTGCTTCGCAAAACCTAACTAAGCCCATCCATCCAATCTTTGCCACTTCTAAGATTGTAGAAGAGTTTAATGCTGTCCTGAACAATGACTATTGCGCGGGCTTGTGGCGCTCGGAATTTCCTCAGGCCCTTCTATGGCAAAGGAACATGTTTGAAGGACGCTTTTTACCACGCCCGGAGTCGTACCGAGCGCCGTCTTAGTTATAAATGTTTATTTAGAGACATGTGACCTTTAACAACTGTCTAGACACAGAGTTCAATAATAGGCCGTAAGCAAATGATTAAAACTATGTAAATTGCAAGGCTAAATATAATAATGGTGGAGGGCGCAACGCCTATATAAGGTGCTTTCGAAACAGACTATAAATATAGTCCTAGGGCTCTGGATAGTAGTGATTGTACATTTTGAGATAGTAATTAGAGGGCTTATACTTCAAATTTATCCAATAGAGTGAGATTTGTATGAGAGACTTGGCTTTTTTACCATTTCTCCAAATACCCATGATAAGCTTGCTTTCGAATATCTCCTAGATCAACCCCGGTGGACATTTAAAGTCGTCTAGTATGGTGAAGACAGTGGAACACCTGGTAATGGTCTGTTCATGTTAATCCCGTCCTGGCGATTAAGAACTCCCAAAGGAGCTTCCCGGGCTTTAAGCTGGAGTATGAACAACCCTTTTGAAACGTACACAATTCGGCAAAGGATATGATGATATTCAAGGAAACTGAGGCTGAGCCTTGCACTTAGTAGCATTTTACTTGAGATGAATCGAGATACCGATAAATCATGCATCCTCAGATCTGCTTGCAAACGCCAATATGTTAATGTACGCCATATGAGGGTACACAAATGGCATTCTTCCAAGTGGTGTTTCTCAAGTTCAAGTTCACTTGAATGATCTTGAAGTTCAATTTCGTGTTTGCGATGGTAGCTTGAGACAGGGGAGTTCGTTTCCAGCCATGTTCTTTTCGCGCAGAGTAATCCTGGGTACATAGCAGCGTCCGCGGCAACGTTCACTGCGTTTGGTGAGTTAAATACAATGAAGAGATAGGAAGGAGAAGCAAGATATTGAGGCAGCCGAACGGCAAAGCTGCCGGGTAGATGCAGGTCACATGACCAATTTTCGAAATGATCACGAGCTTTACATACCGAACATATTTGGAAATTCAAGTTATTTTATTCAGGGTATCTCGAGCAAGAGATACAGGGTGTGAAAGTGTTAGAATCTAATAGTGTAAAATTGTGATGACTGCTCAATGTTAGCCCTACAAATGTCGGCTAAAAATAACAACCCCTATTCACTGACTTTACCTCACTTCCGGTGGTGCCAATACGTCTCATTGATAACTCAATTTCGTGTCTACGGCGTCTAGAGGAGGTCTCGGTCATCAAATTCATCCATATGCATCCTCCTTTGCTAACGCCAAAATCAATTCGAGTATGCCAACAAACAACAAGTATGAAACTCTGATTATTGCCACCAATGCAAACCGACTCATCTCTCCTCCCACGGCGCATGCAGATTAAGTTTCCGCTTCTTCACCTCTCCTTTCTCGTCCTTCTGCTGCTGCTCCATCTCCCGCATTCTCCGCTCTGCAGCCTGAGCAGCAAGTGGTCTCAACTCAGCTCTAACTCTCTCGTTTCTCCTACCTCGTGCCTGCTCCAAAGCTTCGCTTACGGGGCCACCATGTACCAGTTGTGTAAGTTGTCCTTGGACTGCTTGTTCCTGGCCGCGGCGCACCTGGACGCGGCGAGGATGATACATGCAGGTTGGGGCGTGGGCTTCCTCGCCGAGGCGCTTGATGTTCTCGTAGGAGGCGCCGCAGAGGTAGCACCATTCGTTTCCGCAGCGACCTTTCCAAAGCTGATCAGCCAACTCTCATCACAGAGTTAAAATGGATGATAGAGGGGAACTTACAAGTCATATGGTCGCACCCCTCACTCCGACTAACCCCATTCTGACAATTCGGGCAAACCTGAGCATGCTCCTTAGCAAGCAATTTCGCAGTCGCCTCCGCCTCCTCCAGCCGCTCAATCTGGCTGTCATCCATGTCGAACTCCTCACAAGTTTGGCCTTCGTGCCACGGGAGTTTGTGAACGGCACAGGTCTTGAAGGAGCAGGATTCGCAGATCATCATTGGATTTTCGTCAGTGTGGATTTGGCCGGAGCCGCAGTTCAGTCCGAGGCACATGACGAGGTCAGGAGTTGCCATCATTTTGAGGTATTCGTATCTACAGTGTCTGGTTAGTAAAGCTAAGAGATTGTAGGATCTGGAATGAAATACCTAGCGAAGATCTCTCTGGTTGCATACTGCTTCACCTCGTTGTGAGACAACTTCTCCGGGCAGAAAGGACAGATGATAAGATGAAGTTGAGCTTCTGTGACAGCAGTCGCAATACTTTGCTGGAGACAGTAGACACATACTCGCTCGTCATTCTTGTGATGACACGATGATGTGACTTGCGTGGTTGCAGGGAACTCGCTCGAATCGAAGTCATCGGCACAGATGAGGCACTCGATAGAGACTCCAGTAGCTTTGCCTTTAGGTCGTGTACGGCGAACAAAGCGGGGTCGGTGATCCATGCCTTCAAAGTCGGACACTTCCTCCATTTCGTCCTCGTCACCGGACATGCCGTTGTCCTCTCCTCCTTCCTCTTCGAGGTCATCCTCATCCTCGTCATCGTCATCCTCATCTTCATCCTCGCTGCCTTCATCTTCATCACCACTCCCCTCATCTCCATCACCAGAAGAGCCATCCTCGAAATCTTCCGGATTGTACTCGGGCCATTCACCTACCCCCTCACCATCCTGGAAATCTCCGTTGAGATCAACCAAATCAGTTGCTGGTGTAGGTGGTGCGTTTCTCCGCGTAGGAGCAGGGAATTCTCCGCCATTCTTGAGCCAGTTCTCTAGGTTTTGCGTTCCATCTTCGTCGAGGTCTTTGGCCAGTTCGAATAATCCAGTGTAAAGAGCGCCGCGGTCCATAGGGTTGGCTGGGAGGCGCTCATATGCTCTGAGAACTTGTTGCATATGAAGAGTATGATGTTGACGGAATGAAAGACCGAGTACCAACAGTCGTTTGCCGTCGTTGGAAGCCATGTTGGAGGGTGATGGCAATAGGTTGTGATTATGACGGAATTAGCCCAGAGAAGTTTCTCGGGTCCTAACGGTTAAACCCAAGACGAGGAATTGTCGTAGACAAAGTGTTGGAGAGGAGCCAGAGCAATATGCCAGCCAAATAGGAAAGGTTTCACGAAATATCGGTATCCTTGAAGTTGAGTCAGCGGATGAGCTTGATATCAAGTGATTCGGTGGTGGCCTCGCGAGGCTTGAGATATGAAGACAAACCTTCTGTTCCCTGATGGGGTTCAAGGGCGAACACAGAGCGAGGCTGATATAATACATCCAAAGAATCAAGGGTACTAGTACCAAGCTCAGAGTGGGGAAGTTGATCTTTGAGGTTGTTGTCTAGAGGAGGTGGAAACGAAGGTTCACGATCTATAAATATCCGAAGTCGGGGAACATCGCCGCTATAAATTTAGACAAGCGAGTCACTCCTAAATTTTGTGGTTCAATCAGGGAATGTGAATAGACATAAAAGTGATTTTATTTCACCTTTTGAGATAATCATGTTCTGCTTTTGATTTTTTTCGTGAACTGGCATCTGGGCTGTAGCCTATGTGCTGCCGGTAAGGCTGAGTCGGCTTCCGAGCTGGTGCCTACGAGAATTGGACCTCGACATCCTGACCAATCAACTCTGCAGCAGGGCTGGGCATTGTCTCGTGATCTACTGTTTAGTACTGTCATGCTATTCCTATATGTGTTCATACACGAATTCAAGATCAGACAGATGGCTTAGATATTCTTTACACAACTACTATATCAAGTACTCTGGGGCTACAGACTAACAAGCATTAACGTTTTTGTTGACTTTGTTGGTTCTGTCTAGAAGTTACGTTGATCATGGCACACCAACTCTGATATGACTAGTTTATGTTTGGCATTATCCACTGGCATTACTTTGTAACTTGCAAATGCAGAAAGTCCATGATAACGTGCTTTGGGACCCGCCTTTACCCCTGAGATGAAATCTCTCAGTAAGTGTTCCTCTTTTTGTCTTTCATCTACATCTCAGATCTCCAAGGGTTGCTCTATTACACAAAGAGATGAGTATCGAACTTACTGGCCTAGAATGAGGTCACCATTCAGGACATGCACGGGTTCTCGTATCAATAAGGAACATTGGTAGCACAAGTGCCACCGAAGGAAGGTGGCCGAGTATGTTGGACAAAATGGAAAGCTCCGAGATGATTTGAAGTTCGAGAAGAGTGTAAGGCGAGGTAATCAGCAATTACAAAGCAGTGGATAGAAAGAAAGGGTTTTCGAGGACCCCCCTCCCCCTGCCCCCCACAATCGGAGAAAAAGCAACCCCACAGCTGCTTGGCGCCGATGAGGGATCCCCGCCAACATGAGTCGATGTCTTGACAGTCGGTGAGAGCGCAGGCCAAACCATTTTCGTTCTGATGTGCATTTCCTCGGCCAGCGGAATGGCGGTCTTTCCCAACATTACGACGATCACCGGGTCTGAGAAAGGAAGAGTTCAAACCTCGAACACTCACAACCAGGGGCTGTGCCGACAAGCCCAGACGGGCCTTCCGTGGCCCGTTGGCCGCTCTGAAGGCCGTGCGATCAGTGCAACACCCCCCCGCGGTCGGAACCTCGACAACGGCCGCAGTTTGCCTGCATTGCCTGTGCGCAAAGTGACGGACATTAGTACACATGGCTCAACGTCACGACATCCTCTCTCCGAGACCAGCAAAAGGGTGTGGGTTCCTGCAGATAAGGAAAGTCATCTGCCGCCAGTGCGCCACTATCACAGAGCAGGATCGCACTGCATGGAGATTCCTACTGTATCCCACGTTCTCCGGCTGCTGATCAAGGGGCCGGATCGGGGATCGTCAGCAATTCCGGCCGTATTCGCGGCTGAGATGCCCCTGTTTGTAGGCAGTCGTGTGGCGCCCTCTTGCGACCCAGTCATCCGGGTGGATTGAAAAGGGGGTTGCCGTCGACAGGGGCATGATTGGTAGCGAGCCTCCCGTCATTGACCAACCCCAGATTCCATTCCAACCTCCTCGATAGCTCACAGCGCTTAGCCGCCGTCTATTGGCCCATGAATCATCAGAGGGGATGGAAAAAAGGCTCTTCTGAATCCCTATTGGCTGGGGCCTCAGAAAGCCATTGTTGGACAATCGCCGAAACGGTTGATCACTTCGTCTCTTCGTCTTACGAGTCTTGAAGGGCTCCGAACTATTGAACCGCGGAGTCCCGATCTGGGCTGTGTATAGGACGCAGCTTTCAGCAACCCCGGATTCGGCTTCTGATTCGTCTTCTCTATCGGCACGGCGCGGGGTCGTGTTCTAATTCGATCTTGGTGGACGATACGGAGGGTGCCATCATGGGATCCTGGGCCAGGCACAGAACATATAGTCGCTATGGCTCCCGCGAGACTAGGTCTGAGGCTCTTGATGTGAAAAATACTGCAGATAGCTGTCGTCATGGCTGAGGATATCGGCGGATATGGCCCAACTATCATCGCAACAATGTGGGCGGAGACGGGCATTACGCTTGTGTTTGTGGCTTTGAGGTTATACACGAGAATACGCATAAACAGGACAGTGGGATGGGATGATTACCTGATATCACTGGCTTCGGTAAGTGGGGTGGAACGGAGTATTTAATTCTTGCGATTCTGACTCTGTGCAGATAATGATGATACCGTTCTCAGCGGCAACCACTCTCGCAACAATGCAAGGCCTTGGGAGACACTCCGCCGAGCTCAGTCTTGACCAATTCATGCAATCAACAAGATATATAGTTATCGGTCAAACGTGAGAAATTCGTTCAAGTCCCTCAAATTCATGCTTACAAGACTCGAACAGTTTCTCTCTGGTGGGAATAGCAGCCAGCAAAGCCTCCGTAGCCGCTTTCCTCCTCCGAATAACCATCCACCAATGGCACAAGTGGATCCTCTACATATTAATATTGGTCGTCAGCTTGGGATGTTTCGTCTGCGCGTTATTCGACTATATACGCTGCGACCCGATAGAGAGTATTTGGAACTTCTTCATTCCCGGGAAATGCTGGATGGATGCCAAAGGCTTCACCACCCTCTCAGCTGTAGTAGGAGGAATCTCAGCAGCAGCCGATTTTATACTGGCAATTCTGCCCTGGTTTATCCTCTGGAACCTGCAAATGAAACGAAAAGACAAAAATCTGATCGCGTCATCCATGAGCCTGGGATTCTTTGCTGGAGTCTGCGGCATAATCAGAACCACAACCGTGGAACGGATATTTACCGGAGTCGACTACTCATGTACGCTTCCCTCCCTCCAAAGCTCAAATTCAAACTAACACCCCACAGACGAAACAGTCGGCCTAATCCTCTGGTCCTCGACCGAACTAACAGTCACAATCCTAACCGCCACAATCCCCACATTACGCCCATTATACAAACAACTTTTCCTCCGGCAAGCAGCGCACTCCTACCGCCTAAACGCCGTCCAAAAGTCTCCTTCAAACTTCAACTTCTCACCCTACGTCCCCTCAACATACCGAAATAAATCCTCCGTTTCCACCAGCAGAACAGACTCCGACCGCTCAGACAAGAGCATAATAAACCACGGTGCTGGACCCGGGAGTGGGTCCATAGTGTGTACGGACGTCGTGTACGTGGAGTTTGAGGAGCGGGAGAACCCAGCGACGCCGGATTTGGAGCGGTGGAATAAGAGGCATGCGCAGATGTGGGAGGTTGTTTGACCCCTCTCCTTCTTTGTTCTGCTCTCTCTAATGAACCTATTTTTTGTAATGAATCTTATCTGCCATGTCTAGAGATTTTTAATTTGGTTGCAGAACCGATGTAAATATTCTCTTCCTGTCTATTCTTATTTTATTCTTATTTTATTCTATTTTACGGAGAGACTGACTTTACTATTCGAAGATCGGATTGGCAGTGTGATGGAAGAAGTGACTCATCTATGAAGAACATTACCCTTCCCGAATTTCTGGATTCATAATTCTTCCTCCCAGCCTGCAGCAGTGTAGCCGTGCGGATTAGAGAGGCTCGGTCTCCAGGCCGTCTGCCCCACTATCTGCATCACGTCGTACCTAGCAACAACATACGTCCTGCCCGGAGAGGGCCATTCACTATTGTCCGGGACATCAAAGAATCCCATGCCCACCCTAGCCACTTCTGGTCAGATAATCGCCGTGTAATGACCCCCACTGCTTCTGCTGGTCTTCCTCTGCCTCATGCCTCGGCTTAGCTGTCAGCACCTGTCCATGGTAGAGCTGTTTCTCCTCGATCCAAGCTTGCGTAGCTGCAATGTAATTACAATTACCAGCAGGCCCGAAGTATGCGATGTTCTCGCCGTTCTCACGTTGTGGGAAATACTTGAAGTAGCCTGTGACGGCCATTTGGAGAGCCCAGGCTTCGGCATCGCCAGCCAAATCGTTATCCCACACAAGATCTAGCAGTTGTGCTCCGGGTGCCTCGCGATGTGCTTGTTGGGGAGAAGTCAAATTGGTGTAGCGGGGCAGAGAGAGGTGAAGGATGGGTTACCTTGATTATGCAGGTCGAGGGCTGCTTGTTTGTCTACGTCTAACTTCATGTTCATACGGGGGGTTAGGATGCGTAGGGACTTATGTTGCTTGGAAAGTTGAAGTTGGATGGAAGGGTGGGAGATTATGCAGGCTGAAGGGAGGTGTAGGCATGAAGCAAGGGATTCATCTACTTGATGGGGAAACTTCCACAATACGACTTGCTAGCTTTTGAAGTAACTCTTCAGTAGGACCATTCACTCATTGGCCTGATGATTATGAGGCGAGTAACTGGAGTGTGCAAATCATCAAGATTGATCTCACAATCTTTCGCTCCAATGACTCATTTGCAATAGCACTCCTTCCGTTTCTCAAGTTCAAACTCAAGCAGCAGGAGCCGGTCGATTGATCAACTCCGACCAGTCTTCCCCTTGATTCTAGTCCTCAATCCTCGTAGCCTCCACCTCAAGCCCCAAATCCTTCGGAAAGACCACACTCCCATCCCTAGCACTCAATACCCAAACTCCAAAGCATAAGCATACATCTCCAAAATATCCTCCCCGTAACCCCCCGGCGCAAACGAATCATGTTCCTCCACGGTCTTCCTCTCAAAACTCGCCTTTACACCCGTAACGCGACTCCACATCCCCACGTACTCCTCCCAGGTCAACGGATCACCGAACGCAAGCAGATTCTTGCCAGGCGAGACGAGAGTAAGTGCTTTAGCAAAGGCGCCGGCGTTTGAAGGGACGAGGAGAGGGATCAACATATTGCCTTTTCCTGGGATACGGAGGACGAGCGTATTGTCTGGTCGCTATATTCATTCTCCTTATCAGCAAGCAGCTCCCTCTCCTCATATAGAAAAACTCATGAAAGATGCAAGATGGATGAAGAACTGACCTTCTCCCGTGGCACCGCCCCCTGTCCCCACTTCCAATATGTAACAAACAGCCCAACTGCAGTATACTCATCTTGCTTCCTAATAGCGGATGCTTCTCATAAGTGTAATCTACCACATGCGCTTTGAAATCAAAATTCAGCACGCCCCGCATCGCTCAAACCACTCCAGATAAACACCTCCAATCCCTCGACCGTCGCAACCGCATCAGCGATGTTCTTCCCCTGCTGCACCTCGAGCTCATAACACCACTCCCTCAGCGTCTGACCGGGGGACATTTCTCGAGATCAGAGGGTAAGGCGCGAACGAAGGCGTCGCTGAAAGCTGTAGTCGCGAAGACGACGTCCGCGCCTTGGACGGCGGCTTTCAGCGAGACGACGTCGCCGGGGACGATCTTGATGCCCTTTGCAACCAGTGCTTGACTGTAGTTTGCTGGGGTCACGAGATGTGCCGCGGATTTTCCAGGAGGGGTCTTTGAGGAAGGCTGAGGCGACGGAACTGTCATTGGGTGTGGTTGTCGGTGCTTATATTTTTGGAAGGAGAAGGAAATTGGCTTGGTTGCCGGTTATTCCAATTGTGACAATAGTTTGGCCATTTTGAGAGTTATTGTATAGTGGGCTCTTGATATTTTTTTCTTCTCGCTAACTGAACGGTGAGTGACAAGAAAACAATACTGAATCTTGGAAAAGAAGACACAGCTTATAGAAGACCGCTGCACTTTATATGACAGCTCTCTTGGGCACGGAGGCTTTATATTATATAACAGCAGTTCAAATGTTGATGATGAATCAGGTTGCGTCCTTGCCCTCGGACGCCAAAACCCTCAAGGAGAATGAAGAGTAATCACAGAAAACTTCCCGCACCCTCATATTTCCGCACTCACACGGCCGCAATTCTGATGTCGAGACTGAAATGAACTCGCCAGGCGCTACCCGAGGCAGATTTGAAGCTCCATCAATTGGTCAAAGTCGAAAACCCACCAGCTTCTTGAGGTAAGAAGGATGTGGCGGCGTTAATGAGAGCACAACAATAACCCAATGCCGGCTACTAAAGGCCGCCGAACACCAATAACTAACAATCCATCTTGGCGCTGCAGGTCGAGAAACGATCGTGCACTCGGCATACTTGAAATGCTTCCGATGAGATGGGAAGCACTTCGCCCCCGATAAGTATAAAATTACTTTCAACTCGGGAGACTACCAACCGTGACCCGTTATCCTGAATTGTCAAACTGAACATTGCTCGTAGGTTGCAAAAGTAACAGATACCCAAATACGTATGCTTCTTCCAGCACTTACTATCACGAGACTTGCGACTTTGACTTCAAGCTCGTGAAAGTCGTCAAGTGGCATAATATCCGGAACCAATTCCTTCTTCGACTCTGGGGCAGCTGATGAGCTGCAATGTCCACCTTTCCATCCTCTGTACTATAAGGCCCTCCTTTGCCACAAAAGGCGTCTGATGATGTTGGATATTCGTCGCCCAGAGCCTGATTGTTTTGAGCCTCCTGGGCCACCGCGATCGCCCGCAATTCTTTTGCGTCATCCGGAAACTCGGACTCCAAACCCCTCAAGATCTTGTAGACACGCCCATTGATAACTGCGCCATTCAGAAGGAAGATTCGTGTGGCCTTCAGTAATTCGGGCCACTCATAGTCCCGTTTAATTACATTGCGCAAATGGTCACCCTCGGTGCAGGAAAGTCTGGTTGTAAGTGACTCTAGTCTCCCCTGTATGATATCCCAAGCAGAATAGCCACCATAAATCTGGTTAGGACAGGATCCATTGTGCAGGAGTAGTTCAACAATCTTCGAAGATAGTCGATGGTGACCATGCAGGCCATAGTGTTTTTGAACGGCATATCTTCTTAACATAGGCCCGCTTTCCTTCATTCGTACTACGTCAGGTTGAGATTCGATCTTATGTGCGACATAGTGGTAAAGTCCACACCCGATCGCGAGCGCAAGGAAATTGTGCTGAGGGTCTTGGATTGTGTACTCTTTCGTAGCTCCCCAGAAATATGATGGACCATTTGCGCGTTGCATAACTCGGTCAAATTCATCAAGGAGGAGAACCTCGGCTTGCCGTGTTTTCAATTCGGCTCTATAAGCAAGAGATAAAATTTCCTCTGCGTGTTTTCTTGGGCGTTTTTCTGTGGGAAGTAATACAAACTTTAAGAAGAAGACGCAAGACTGCAAAAGAGAACCGTATGGATTGAAATCTGACTCTCGCGTGGGATCAAGAATGCGCGACCATACTTGAGGCAGTTCTAAGAAATCTCGAACTGTTCTGTGCAGATATGATAAAACTCGATCAGGACTGTGCGACCCCCGAGGGTGGTTGGCTTCAATCAAGCCTCCGCATCTTGTCACCAGCCAAATATCGACGAGTTCGACCCTCTCCGCCCATTCAATCTCTGAGATTGGCTGCGTTCGGGACGAAAGAAGGCTGTCAACATTGGGATCTTCGGCGAACGAGAGTTTGAGAGAAGTGAAGTGAACATTTTCAAACTGGGAAGTTGCGAAAATCTGGAAGATGCGGGACGACTGTTCCAGGTAGACTGGCTGAAGGCGGCCTAGAATATGACTAAATAAGTCTTCAAGTGACGGCGGTAAGAGTCGAAGTCTCCTTTGGAGATCGGAGACATGATCCGAATTCCGAAGCCCACGAAGTAATGAGATTACTACAAGTTTGACCCAAAGGAAGATTCCATCCGCTTTGTCAATGATTTCTAGTGATAGTTTCGGCGCTTCTTGCGGCTCTGTATTGTGAAGCTCCCGCATTAGGTCGTTGGCTCCGAGCTCGTCATCCACATATTGCTTGATGTCATTAAAATTGAGATCCTGGAGACGGAGTGTCGGACGCGATCTGAACGCTTTGACAAATTCGTAAATGGGTCTACTCGACAGGCATAATTTGACATTCGGAAGCTTTGATATATTTGTAAAAAGGTTAATGATGTCGAAAGGATCGCCATCGTATTCGTCAAGACCGTCAATAAACAGACAAAATCTCGAGTCGTCACTGGCTTGTTGGAACAGATGCTCGAAGGCTTTGATCAACCTTGGTAAGGTCCAAGACTCGGGTTCCAGAATAAGCCTGGTTGGATGTCCTCGATGTGCAGCCCATTCATCAGGAAAAACCACCCGGATCAAGTTTCTCGCTTGCCTAAGAATGTCGAAAAGCAACGCACGAAGAAGGCCTTGGTAAGACCGCTGATCAACTGTGCCACTGTTCCAGAAGAAGTGCGTCGCCCTTATAAGCCGTTTCGGCTGGGACCATTTGTTAAGTAAACTGGCAGTCCGAGAATTATCGCAAATGAATCTCATTAGAGTTGACTTTCCCGAAGCTGGTTTCCCATTGATCCAGTATATCCCCGTGCCCCCAGAAAGCCATTGAGGGAAATCAGACCATCCCGAGTGTTGTGGAGGTGGAAGGAAGATCCATTCGAAAGTCTTTCGATGTGCTGGCTCGATCTCATCAAACCTGTTCTCCATCGTTGGGAAACGGAGACTTGCTAGTAGAAAGGATTCGATCTCCGCGTCTTCACGTTTCTGGCCGAGATCTTCAGTGCCTTCTGGCGGCCCTTGTAAATTTTCAAAGGGCTGATTTCCTCGCCCTGAATATATGGTAGCAAGTATAGTTTTTCGTGTCCGTTCATGTTCCCTTGTAATAAGTTCATTGGTATGGTCTTGACCGTGACTTAGGCGCTCAATATTGACTTCAAGATCCTCCCGTAGCTGACTCTGGTCATCCTCTAGTCTGTCTACCAAGTGTCGAGCAACTTTGTCCAAGTTCCGGAAGCCTTCCGTTTGTTTGATCGCTTGCATGTCGAGGGTGTCTCTGTAGGGCGGCTACTGTTAGTAATTTTGCTATCGATTTTCTTTGCAATAGAGTGAATGCACGCAAGCGTTCAAAAGAGCATACCTCATCGAAACCAGTATACGAAGATTCAATTCATCGCGAACATACTGCAAGCGCTGTGCAATGGCATCCACTTCATCCTTTTTCAACAGACCTTTCAAAGCCTGTCGGACGCTTTTCCATCGCCGATTTGAGGTTCCTTGAACTTTCAGCTTGTCCAGAACTTCGATCAGCTCTCCTGCAACGCCAGAGCATTGCTCGCTCAGCTTGTGCAGAGCTACATCTGGGGTCGTCAGGGTCGTCAGGTTGGGGTTGTGCGAAGGTGTGGATTTCTGCAGACGCTCATTGAGGTCCTGTAGATCTTTCGCAATGACTTCAAGCTCAGCGTTTCCTACCGATGCTCCATCGGTGGACTTGTAGAGCTCATTGCCTTTGGCAACAAGTCTGGCGGAGAAATCGAGGAATTGAACGACATTGCCTGCCAACGACAAGGCTGTGAGCGGGTCAAGCATCTTCACGTTGCACGGCTTCGAGATGGCGCTTATGAGGCATATACAAGCATAAAAGATGTGAACTGATGCGAAAAGCAGACATGCAGCACTTGCAGTGAAGTGTGAAGCATAATGAGAGAAAAGTTGCCGTTGGAAGGAAAAGAATCGCGGTGCGAGAGGACTGCGTTGTCTCGGCTCAGCCTCGATGCAGGCTCGACCAATTAGGGTGGTGCAGAGGCCGCCCAACCATACAAGGCAGTGCGGTAGGCTGACTTGAACCTGCAAAATTTAAAACTACTTAGAAGATGTGTTTATATCTTGAAGTAATAGTTTCTGCATGATATGCTTGAAGGGGGAAAATGGAAGGAAAGCACGCGAGTTGATTGCGGAAAGTCTTCACTTGAAGGTGTAGTGAGCTGAAACGAAAAACATGATTGGAACAGTGATGCAGAATGCATGGGTATCATTCTATGTCCATATGACCATGGGGCGGTGTCTAGCTATCGAATACAAACAACATCCCTCATCATCCCTTCCTCTCCTTACTCTATGAAATGACCCCAACGCCAGCAATGCACGCTAATATCAGACTCTTCTCATCCATCCCTTTCCGCATCATTTCAGATCGCAGCGTGAGCATACGGCTCATAGGCACCGTCTCCCCTGATGGGCTTGTTGTGGTTATGCGGGGGGGCATAAACACCCTGTTGCTGGCCAGCGTAGGGGTGGAAATGATCGGCCGGCTCTCCAACACGCTGGTAGTGGCCAGTTGGGATGAGCTTCTCGCTGTCACCGGCACGACTCTTGCGGTTGGAGCGCTTGTGGTGGTCGGCAGCGCAACAGCACATGCTGAACATCCAGAAGAGGCCACCACCGATGCTGAATGCGGCTGCTAACCAGGTGGTGGCGAGGAACGAGGTGTTGATGGAGGAGTGGACACCGTAGGCTTTGGCAACAGAGTCGATGGCGCCGACGACGATAGAGGATTGCACGGTTGCCATGATGGAGGCGGCAATGATGGCTACGGTGGAGATACCGGAGATCAGAAAGGTACAGCAGGAGCCGACGCGTGAGCAGAAACCGAAGAGGCCTACGATGAGCTCCGCGACGCAGGTTACGAACGCGATGATGTAGACGACCTCGGTCCATTTAGAGACGACGGTGAATGTGTGTAATGAGGTAGTCAACTCTTTGGGAAGAGTGACGGTCACACCGGCTGTGGAAGATGCAATCTTCTCAATGGCAGTGGTGTTCAAGGCGGAGGAAGCCCAGTCGAACTTGGCCTTGGTGCAGGTCGTGTTGGTTCCACTCTGGTAGCAGTAGTTGAACAACGAGACCTTGTAGCTTTCTGCGAGACCAAGATCCGCGGCGGTGATGTTGTTGCCAGCAGTCACAGAAGAAGCGGCGTTTTCAAGAGCGGCACTGGTGAGATGGTCGAGGCCTGTGAACCTCTTGGTGATGAGGTTCTCGAGGTTTGCGAGGGAATTCGAGGAGATGGAGAGGTTCTTGGTGTTGACTTCGAACATGTCGAGGTTATGGTTCGTTACTCCAGCCAGCATGACGATGAGGATGCATATCAACGAGCAGATAGTCAGTCCGAATGGCAGGGCCACGCAAACAAATCTTCCGACACCCATCTTGACGGTTTATGTTTTAACGACTGTGGTGTGTGTAGGAGCGAATGTGTCAATCTGGTGGTAGGAAAGACGCAAGTTGAGGGTGAGCGAACGATGATGTTGGTGTTGGTGGAGGGAAGTGGAAAAGCAGCAGGTTTCAGTCTTTAATACGGAGTATCCGTGGGCGCAGTCAGCAAAGCGCAATCAGCTTCGTCAGGGGCATGCCGCAGACTGCTGCAGTGCGGTGCAGCCACGCCAGCCGTGCAGGGGGCCGACGGCTTACGTCAAATTAGAGATGCGCACCTTCGGGGCAAACAAGTGGAATTCTGGGCAGTTCAGAGGGGCACAAAGGATGCAATGGTTGAGAAAATGTGCTGCTATCTAACAATTGATGCTGCATCGTTCTGCTCCCTGCTGTTTCGTGAAGTATCATTGTTGTTGTTGCCGTTGTTGCTGTTGTTGTTGGGGTCCTGGTTGCCACAGGAATCATCGTCGCTCCGCAGAATGAGGATCGTCGAAAAGCTCAAACGAGCAAACGGCTTACGGCATGGCGTGGCGCAGTCCCTGCAGTTCCGTTCGTCGGCCGGTGGTTGGCTGGGTTGGCCCCGGCAACGACCCTCAGGACCCACCCATGCCTATTTTTACACGTTATCTGCCCGAATCCGCGATGATGATTCGGCCCCACTATTTTCGCCGCTGTGAGTCGTGGATGTCTTTCAATGTGTCTTGAAGTGTCAAACCACACTCCACAGGTACGAACACTGCACAGACTCCTGGCTTTATCAACACAAATATGGTTTCTCTCTAGACTCTACCCAATATCTCAAATGCCACCAAAACCTCGTATAACATCCTCAAACTCCCCGGAATACCGCCATCGTCTCGCGGACATCAGTTCCCGAGCATGCCTCTCCGACCCCCTGAACGTGCTCTTCCAACGCGATAATGTCGGCTCTTCAGCCCAAGTCACACTTGAAAACATCTACAAATCTAGCCTCCACCGCATCGAAGCGAAAGTCGGGCTCGGTTCCCTAGTCGTCGAAGCTGATCAGTTCGCCGCTGTCGCGTGCTGGGAACCTCCAGGAGTAGTTTGTCGTAATCATGATATTGAAGAACTTGAAGAACTAGCAAAGGAGAGACCCATTTATGCTGCTTTTATTCGGGATATTGAAGCTGCGGAGAATGAGTGTTTGGGAGAGGGTCAGAAGTGCTGGCAGCTTAGTTTGATGGCGAGGGATCCGCTGAGAACGAGTAAGGGGGCGGTGAGGGCCATTATTGAACCATTTGTAGAGAGGTCGAAGGCGGAGAGGGTGCCGATTTGGTGCGTTGCGGGCAATGAGAGGGCGAGGGATGTGTATGCTTATTTTGGTTTTGAGGTTGTGAAAGTGATTTATTTGGGGGAGGAGAAGGTGAAGACTTGGTGTATGGTGTATAATTGGCCGGTTGAATGACGGGTCTGGGGGTCGGGATGGAGCGAAATTGGCTTCCGTGGAATGGGATGCTTCTGGATGCCTCAAACCGCCCATTAAGGTACCGCAAGCTCCATTCGCTCGCACCAGGACCGGCTGCTAAACCCGGTATCTGCTCACGGCAAAATGCGCAACGGCTGTCACTGAAATACTGATGTGCTTAACCGTGCCGGCTTGTCGAATATGTGGTCCATCACCACTACTCCAGTGCAGGGCTGGAAGAAACGCCGCGGGAAGACACGGCCCGGTATGTGGGGTCGAAGTTTCAGGTCGTGCAAAGTTTTTATACCTCTTCCCTTAAAGGTTGAACCTCATGTGATCAGGACCTAGACACGTGATTATAGAAAACTTCAAAGTTCCTTTTGGAAGATCAGAGGCAAATGATACATTTGTCTTACACTCTAGTAAGTTTCTGCCTCTAGGTGATAAAAACTCTCTGATTGGCGGCTTTGAGAATCCGATTCGGGTTCCGGTGGAAAGCTTAGCTGAACCTGACCAGCCTTGCCAGCAGTGGCTGTGGATCTGAGAGAATACGGAAGCTCAGAGGTCCGGATTCTTCAAAGCATTAATTCGTTGCACGACGTGAGAGAAGGCTCAGTACGTGACCTTCACACAGGATGTTCATGGATGCCTCGCAGCATGCAGTCTGCCGCAAGCAAACATCGTATGTTACTTTCTAGCCAGGCCCCCTATCTGACGCCAAATGGCTAGAGTGGCATAGAAGCCCCAATGGTCAGAGACTCAAATTTGTGACGACGCTCGAGGAGTTGAGGGATGCGTGTTGCACGGAATGGACCATACGTGGTTGAGAAAGAGTGGCTCAGCTATGTTCAACGGTATCACCGCCAAGGGAGCATCATAGCTCGTCCGCAGTCCTAACTTGACGGACTGGAAGTTTTTGCCATCAGAAACCCCTCGCCAAAGGTCTCACTTGTTGTGGCGCTCTGTCTGCAAAAGGGCTCAGAGCTTGGCAATACTATGGCCGCTGGAGCCCATGTGGAGGAAAGGTATGTTGCTGTCGAGGTAAATACAGAGTTACGCTGCAAAGTCTTTTTGAATTGTTAAGCAGAAGAAATATAGCTGAAATCACACCCTCTGCCAGCTCGGGTTCTTCGCTTTCTTGGCGTGACGTCGGCATGGACGTTGACTTCGTTAAGGGGTAGTTCGGTCCCGGACAAAAGAAAAAATCGGAGAAAAATGATAATGTTGCTGCTTATTTTGGAATGGAAATCGAGATCTCATTCGACCTTTGGGTCGTTTTGAGTTTCTTTTACAAACAAGAGTGAAAGATGGAGATGAAGTCAGAAGAGGCCCCCTGTCCTCGCGTCTGAACACTACAGTAGCGCCAAAGACAACCGGCCATTCTGGCACCCATCAATCTTCCGGTAACTTCCAACTTCAAGATCCATCGTCAAGTCACCCTTCAGCCTCGACTCGCCGATCACCCCAATCCATGAGAGAACACCAAACGAGGCTCTGATAACGACTCTCTTTTCAATTGTTCTCACGACTGCCGAACCCGACTCCGGCCTCAATCATTCGGCCATCGTGCATGCGACCAGGTCACTCGTCTTCCACCAAACCCCACAATTTCACCAGGCACAGCCTTACACAACCCGAAAAAAACCGCGGCGACATCGAAACATCCCCTTCGAGCCTGTGGTCTCGTGCGCGATTAGCTGAAATACCTCATGCCGACATAGATTCTTCCCTGGCTGCTTCTCAAGTCCGCCTCACTCAAAAGGTTCGTTCTGTGCCGCACACATGACCAGAGCTTTCCTCTTCAAGCCGGGCTACTCGGCGACCCCCTCCTTCCGCAGCCTCAAAAGAAAGCTTGCGCTCCCCAGCCTTCTCTCTGCACACTCAAGTCTCTTAGGTCGCGTTTCTTCTATCAATATTTGCTGACGAGAGTTGTGACTCAGTATCCAGTCGATCGATACCCGCGAGCCCGACCAGTGAGTGGTTCAGTAAACAACTTGGTACCTAACGACCTGCAAAGCGACTGCATCTTCCAGTCTTTCTTTGGAAATTCAGCCTTGCCTGAAAGTATCTTGAGTGTGCGATATTCACGTCGACCACTTTGCCACACTGTCCGGACCTACATCATATCTCCGAGACCTCTCCGTTCATAAGTCCATTCCCAGGCAAACACAAAGCCTGCGGCCCCTCCACCGTCGACGCCGACAGGATATATTATATGCTTCTGCCGATAACTTGAGGATCAACACGTAACGGCCTTCACGAGTTTCTTACAAACGAACAAAAAGCAAGATGGGAAACCAACCCTCCAAAGGCTCGGGAACGTCCACCCCAAAGGGCGGTGCATCACAGACCTCATTGAATAAGGATATGGACAATCTCCAGTCTTATCCGTCGTTCAGTAAAGCAGATACCAAGGAATCCATCCGGTCATTCCGAGGGCTGAGGTCTAAGATACCGGGCGGTGGTAAAACGGACAGTCCGCGCAACTCTACATCAGGATTAAGCAATGGCGAAGCACTTGTGGATAAATCTGACGCTGGGTCTTTCCGTTCTGGGAAGGGTGGTCGCTCAGCGATTTCCAAGACAAATTCCCCAGATTCGCCAGTTTCCGGACCGACGTCGCCCTCGCAGGAGGATGGCGATGATGCGACTTCACCTCTCGATGAACCGAAACCACCTCCATCTCCCATCCAGTCTGCCTCCATGCGAGCAGGGCATCATGACGTGGATGCTGCGCAACGAAGCGGTGAAGTTGACCACGTCTCTGATCAGCCACCCTCCGGAGGAACGAACCCACATGCACATCTTCAACGCCCTGGCCAGTCGATTCTAGTCAAAAGAGCGAATACAATAAATCCCATTCAACAAGATGCACTCCTCACAGCGCCGTCAGCTGGGGACGAAGGTGGCACGCCTGGCTCACTTACAATGGCAATGGGAGAATTGAAGGATTCGGATATTGACGACTACATCAAACGGCTTCTGGATGCTGGATATGCTGGGAAAAGTACAAAGGGGGTTTGTCTGAGAAACGCGGAGATCAATTCTATCTGTTCTCGGGTGAGGGAGATATTCCTTGATCAACCACCCCTTATTGAGCTGGAAGCGCCAGTCAAGATCGTGGGTGATATTCACGGGCAATACTCCGACCTTATCCGAATGTTCGAAATGTGCGGATTCCCACCAAGTTCGAATTTTCTCTTCCTAGGCGATTACGTGGATCGAGGAAAACATTCTTTGGAGACTATCCTCCTTCTTATGTGCTACAAGATCAAGTATCCAGAGAACTTTTTCTTGCTGAGAGGAAATCACGAATGTGCGAATGTGACGAGGGTGTATGGATTTTATGATGAATGCAAGAGGAGGTGCAACGTCAAGGTTTGGAAGACATTTGTTGATAGCTTCAATTGTGTAAGTTTGTTCCAGTACTTGCCACACTTCAAGGCTGACTTTATACTAGCTACCAATTGCTGCGATCGTTGCTGGAAAGATTTTCTGCGTTCACGGAGGCTTATCCCCAGCTCTCAGCCACATGGACGATATCAGACATATTGCGCGACCAACAGACGTCCCGGACTTCGGGCTGTTGAACGATTTGTTATGGGCAGATCCTGCAGATCAAGAAAAGGACTGGGAATCCAGTGAACGGGGGGTCAGTTACTCATTCGGGAAAAAGGTCATAACGGAGTTTCTGGCAAGACACGATTTCGATTTGGTTTGTCGGGCACATATGGTTGTTGAGGATGGTTACGAGTTTTTCGAAGACAGAATCCTGGTGACAGTGTTCTCTGCGCCAAACTACTGTGGGGAATTCGACAATTATGGTGCAGTTATGAGTGTTTCGACCGAGCTTCTCTGCAGCTTTGAGCTCCTGAAACCTCTCGACTCGAGTGCTTTAAAGAGCCAGATGAAGAAGAGCCGAAACAAACGCAACAGCATGGTCAACAGTCCTCCACCAGCTGGCGTCTTCCCTCAGAGCGTATGATTTCGACCTGGGATCAGAGATACAGAAAAGGAACAAGGAGGTTCAGCATCCACACTTGCATTGGCCCCCGCGGCCTCGGATCTCGGTGCATATAGAAGATTACAACAAGTGCCAGAAGAGGCATACGCGATGATTTTGGCACAAGCCAATTCCGAAGTCCCTTTCCACAGCTCGCCGCTCCGTTTCGCGAGGGTTTGCTTCGGGGAGATGATTCCAAACATGAGACGATAGTTGGGAAGGAGCGACAGTTGCGGGACATCAATTTCGTGCCGGCGTCAGTGGTCTCCCTTGCTGTTCGCGATACGAATTGTGGTCCCTGGCGTTTTCAACTTGTTTACTGGGCATTACACCCTCCTAATCACTTATCTAAGCCCTAGGCTAGGGGCATGGGATGATAAAACGAGCTTTGCTGATCTAGTGAGGCAAGAGAGCATGATAAGTGGCCGAGGGTAGCTATGTGTATTTGTATTGCTAGCATTGATGAGGGAGGGAACTGAACTGATGGAACTTGCTTAGATGAAGTGAGAGGGCGTGAGTGAGGAATCGAATGATTTAAACCATTGCTACATATATTTCTCTTGCCTTCTTCCTTGTAAAGTGAAAATTAATCCCAGCCAGATGAGGAGGGGGAAGGGGGGACTACTGGTAACCCTTTCGGGGTGGGTAGAAAAAGCGGCACTAAAATCTCAATGTTTCAAGTCAACTTGGGACGTTGCAGAGAAACTGCCTCCAAATATTCCCTTAACCTGTAGTAGAATTAAATCCTCTCTCCTCGGCTATCTCAGAAATCCAGAAGGATACTATTCGTGCCTCTCTAAGTATAGTCAAATATACGGTTTCGACTTCGGACATTGACAATCGGTGCTGCTTGTTTTTTGTCCATCACGAGACCCCCACGCCCTCCCGAAGATCCCAGCCTAAAAATCTCACCGCCTGACCTTCCTGTAAAATTTCTGCCTCTCCTCCCCTCCACCTTTTCCCACGAAAGCAACACAACGCATCCACAAAGCCAAATTCAAACCCAAAAGGGAGGAATAGAGAGCCAAGATGCCAGTGTCGAAGAAGGCAAAGGTTCTGTTCTTCCTCCCCTCATCCCCCCAGCCTTCTCTTCGCAAAGAAAGGTGGAGAGTGTGCTCTCGGGATGGAAAGGTCAGGGGATGGTGTCGAAGGATGAGGGCTGATTGGAAGAGAATAGATCCAGCGCGAACACCGCAAGGGCGACAAAGAGGGGACCCGCGCGCCGGTCAAGGCGAATGGACTTCCGGTCAAGGCGCCGAAGCCTACGAGCATTGTATGTTTTTGAGACCTCCTTCCGGGCGTATCTCAACATACATCCCTCCTATCCTATCCTATACAAACATCACACAATTCTTCGTCTGGAGAAGGCGCTTAAGGGTGAGGGGAAGCAGAGGGGAGGGAGCAAGGAGGAAGAAGGGCAAGGGGAGAGAGCGAGATAGGAGAGGGCTAATCTCGTGTGTGTCGCGCAATAGTGCGCCAACTGCCGCAAGGAGCTCGTGAATACCAACCTCAAGCAGCTGGAGACCCACGCGGAGACGCATGATCAGAAGGTGTGGACGAAGGAGAAGTGTTGGCCGGATATCTTCAAGGGCGTTTCTACACCGGCGGCTGCGGAGGGGAAGAGTGAGGTTAAGGCTTGAGTGTCAAGAATGGGATGCGAGAGGTGGGGATGGAGGAGTAGGGAGAGGGAGGGGACATAGGGCTGGGAGTGAGACTACGGTTTCTCTCGTGGGGTAGAATGGGACGGTAATGAATACACGACTTGAATGCAGGGAGTGCTATATTTTGGGATATTGTGAGGTCTTGAAAGAGGGGCTGAGGTGTTGACATTGTGGGCTGGGAGAAGCCTCTGCTACTGGGGATATTGCTTCAAAGCTACGATCTTGCCCAACATACAGTCAAAGCGCTTGCTCGGGCAAGTTCTCGACTTGGCTTGCCGAGAAAGAAGTCTCTTTCTTTGCAGCGAGGTTTGCAATCTAGTCCAAGCATCAGCAGGGTTATAGCTAACGCAGCTTGTGACGTTGGATCTTGGCAGCGTGTCACGTGCATAACCAGATTTCTTCCCCTCTGCTCTTGAACCTCCCTCACAGAATATAGCATCGAGACAAGCCACACATTGCATCGCCGAATTCTATCAAAACCCTGCCGCAAGGTCAGAAAAAGTGCGGAGTAGGCTGTTGGACATCAATCAGCACATCCCTGTCCTGTATCTTCCCCGCATTTCCCAGACCCCAGCTCAAGTGAGAGGATTGCGGTCCACCGTCCACCATTCACACATTCGCATGCCGAATTCAGTGTCTGTTTCATCTATATGTACTTCTAGGATACGTGTCATTTTCAGCCAGATGCACGTCCATTTGCTGGATGTTAGGCTGTCTGGATATTCCCGTAAAAGTCGCGTCCCAACCTGTCGTCGTGAAGTATATTAATCTCAAGATTTCTGTTGCAATGTGTTTATCAATCCAACCTTTTCAATCAGCTATAGAATGCTCTGAAGTATGACAGCGCCCCGTCGCAGATTTTTTGTGCTGGTAGCCTGCTTCATCTTCGGTCTGATTGCACTTGTCAATTTCGTCCATGGCGTCTCTGGTTTCATAGATTCGTTGAGGTATCGGAAAATTCTTGGGTTATTATTAAAATATTATTCTTCCAAAGAGACGCTGAGAAATCTCTCCTTGACAGAGGAGCAATGCAGAGCTACGTTTCCAGGGTTAATGATGGAGCTTGATGATGCGGTGGCTCGAGGTCCATTTAAGTTGGAGAAGGAACCAGATGACTATACTGGAATGGTGCAGCTGAGAATCAAAGATGGAAAAGTGAGCTCAGAGTTCTGTTATCTTCGGAATATTGGAGCCGATTGCTGACTATAATCCTTCAGATGTACATTATAACTGCAGAACACCGACCAAATCGAGACATGGGCTTCGTACGACGCCCCTCCTCCTCCCTTCCACCCAATTCTAACATCTTCATAGGAGCGCAACGCAGTCCTCTACCAACTCCACCGCGCCCTTATCACCTCACCCACACCCCTCCCAAACACAATCATCACCCTCTCCATCCTTGACACACCCCACACCAACGCCCTCTCTTTCGCGCGCTCCAATGACCCCCAGATCCCTTCCCTTTACTGGTTAATGCCCCACTTCTCCTTCTGGGCGTGGCCCCTCCCATTCATCGGCACTCTTGACTCCGCCCTTGCTCGAATATCAGCCGTCGAAACATCCACTCCCTGGTCCAAGAAAATAGATAAGGTTGTATGGAGAGGAACAGCATGGTTCAATTCAGTGGGCAATACGAATCTGAGACCGAAGTTGCTACAGGTGACAAAGGGGAAGGAGTGGGCAGACGTCGAGGATTTGAAGTGGTTTAATAATGCAGAGAAAGCGAGGAATTCTCTCCTCATCAAAGACTTTTGCAAATACAAATATATTATTTATACCGAGGTACTTCAAATCCCCTTCCTCCATCTCATCCAGTCCCAATCTCTAAAGAGAATGGAGGCTGACGGAAGAGAATATAGGGGATAACATACTCCGGCCGCCTCCCCTTCCACCAATCCTGCCGCTCCATAATCCTCACGCCACCCCTCACCTATCTAATGCACACAACGCACCTCCTGCGTCCCTTATTCTCCAGTACTCTCACTCTCCCCAGTTCGCCCCATTCCCTTCCCTTCACTCAACAACCAGTTCCCAACTCCCGCTGGCCCAAATCCTATCCCCCCTCCCAAGCAAACATCGTCTTCATTTCCCCCGACTGGTCAGACCTCGAAGCGACCATCACCTGGCTTCGCAGCAACTCTGCTATAGCTGAAGGCATCGCGGAGAAGCAGAGAGAGGTGGTCAAGAAAGGGTATTTGAGTGAGGCGAGCGAGGTATGTTATTGGAGGAGTCTTGTGAGGGGATGGAGTAGTGTGGCGAGGGTTGATGAGGAGGAGTGGGGGAGTTGGGATGATGAGGGGAGGGATGTTAGGGGGGTGAGGTGGGAGGAGTTTAGTTTGACGCAGAAGTCTTGGGACTGAGTTGAATTGAAGTAAAGTGAAAGCTATTTTATGGTATTGAATGATTATCCTTCCTGCATTTTTCAAGCGAGTGGGGCTGCTGAACCCCTGACTCCAGATCCTGAATTCCAAAGACATTGACAGTTGAGGAAGACTATAATACGGGATCGTAAGATTCTGGGTTTTGTTCTCGCCATGCTTGCACTCGAGCCTGGTGCTGTGGGTGGATGGTGCTATATCGCGGTGGCAGGTCCTCTGCGTCCATATGTTCGTCATCGAAGTGCTGTTCGTCCACCGTTTTCCTTCCTATTAAGTCCCCCACGCCGTTGTGTTCTTCATACCTATTTTCCTCCCTCTCTTTCCCTTTGGCTATCGATGGATCGATATCAACAGCTGGCTCATCGTAGACTTCTCCATGGTCCGCGAATTTCTGCTCGTTTCCCGGATCGTTGACAATCACTAGATAAAGGACCCCCTATTTCCGTTAGCAACAACCCTAAAGCCATATCATAGCGGCATGGCAGTACGTACCGTCTGTATCTTCGCATCCCAAACATCTCTCTCTTGTCCCGCATCGCCCTCATCTCCCTCATCCCTCCTCATCCGCTCCATTATTCCCTTTGCCGAAGCAGGCGACTTCCCAACCTTCGTAACACCAAACGCACCTTCGACGGAGCTAACGCCACTTGACTTAGACGTTGGACGCGCGCGCTGGAATCTGTGGTTCTGCCGTTTGCGCGAGTCATTCTTGCTTTCACGGTTGCTGGAAATGCTCGAGATGAGAGAGAAGAGGGGGAGATTGTTGGATGGACTGGTGGGTTGGATGTGCGCTCTTCGGTCACTGTAGTCGGAGATGAAGTTGCTCATTTTCTGTAACTTATTGGAACGTCTTGGTTGTGGCTGTTTCGTTTTGTTAAGGTTAAATGTTGTGTGTCCGTAATCCATGCCGCCGAACGTCAAGTCTTGCATGTTCAGTTCGGACCTGCCGGGATGCGAGGAGTCGAGCACGTTGATGGTGAGAACTGGTGATAGGTCATTGGGGTTTGATGTTATGACCATAGCGAAGAGGCCTCGGGGAGTGAACAGTGAGAGGTTTGATTGGTCGAGGAAAGTGTCGAGTCTGTGGGAGAGTATCAGCTATTCCAGTAATGTGATGCATGAAGTGAGTTGGTAACTTACTCCCGATATCTTTGTGCATCTTTTGCTAGCCGCACTGCGCTGGGGATGGCAGTTGAAAGCTCCGTCGTCTTGTCTCGCCAACCGACCCCAGATTGGAGAGCGGTGACATTCACGGCTTCGATATCGGGGTAGAACTACACATACGAGTCAGTTTGTTCACCAAAAGATAGATATAAGATCACGAACTTGGAGAGATTCATTGAAAGAATCCAGGAATTTTAGAAATGATTCCTGAGAGATACCACAATCCATTAGAACAGGCGAATAGGTTCGAACCCAGCCAGGTCCGTCGGGTCCAGGAGCATTCTGAGAGATGATGATCAGACATGGTAAGCGACCTTGGGTCGTGTGTCGTACACCGTCTGATTGATTGTACCTCCCGCTGCCAGATCTGTTGGTGATTGCCGTCAAGTTAGAAGAATAAGGCGCGGGAAGTGAGTCGTCCTTTGATAGTTCATCCAAGACTTTGCTGGACAGGGCATTTTGGAAGTCGGCGTAATTTTGAAGTTCATGGAATGCTTCTTCTTCCCGTCTCCGTTCGATCTCTGGTGATGTGATACCAGTTTCTTGGGGCAAAGGTCAACGCTTATCTAGGCTTTGGAGATAGAAGGCCACCTACCAAAGCCGGAGTTTTGGCCATGAGAGTCGATTCCCGCATTTCTTGCTGCCTGCCTTTCTTGGTACTTGTCTATCGCAAGACTGACGCCGACCGCGAGAAGTCCAATGATAGGCATCGCGGTTCAATTGTAATTCTGGGATCACACTGTAATGGCGGCAGTGCGGTCTTTCAGGTAAATAGGGTATCAAGGCTGAGTGAGACTCGCTATATTACAAGACGTGGCCGTATGGCAAATTCTATGTCATTCTAGTAGACGAGATGGCGACGACGAGAGGCACCAGAGACTGTTGAAAGGAATGCGTCTCATACCCAAGAATCCCGGCCAATTTCAGTGTGTGCTTGCGAGGTCCTTCATCGAGATCCGACGCCACGGAGGAGAGTATCTGTTCATCCGGCCGCCAAGATCCGCTGCATCAAGACCTTAAAGGGAGGCATCATGGACAAATCTAGCCTCCAGTGCGCAACAGAAGGCAATAAAAGCGGTCGTTCAATATCTGCGTTGAGTAATTCGTGCCTCGGAGTGTGTGGGACGATTGTTGCGCCGTTGAAGCCTTGACAGGTGACGCCCGAGTTGCCAAGGGATGGCCAAGGGCGAGGCGGCCGGGAACTAACCTGGAATGGGCTTGCTTGGAGCAGCCCCATGGAAGTTCTCGCGCCATGGCGTCTTAGACATGCAGAGGTCAGGCTGACCAAGGTGGTCTACATAAGGAAGTGGTGATGTTGCGGAAACGAACTGAGCTGCGATTGGAGAGCTCCGAGCATACCTTGTTAGGCCTAGCGTTGGGCGAGTCTGACTGGGAGTTTCCCAATGCGCTCTTTCGCACTCGATTTTAGCATATTGGGAGACTGATTGGTAGATATATGAGAAGAGTGGAACCCGAGAATCCCTTGTTGCATAACTCCTCTGTGCAAATAAAGGAACCAAGTTGTGAAAAAGAGGTCACGTGCCACAACCCACCCTTCTCCTAAGGCTAATCTCGTCCAATTGCACAAATGAGTCATGTCAAGGCTGAAAACTTGTCAGAGAAAATGATGAAATTCTAATCTATGTGTCCGTAATACTTCCTATAAGCACCAAGACATATCGTACATTGCCCAACAGCCACCTTGATGTCCCCTCTACTGCCACAATCTGCCTGATATCCTAAATTATAAACCCAATTTCTCCATTCACTTTATCTCAGACTTGAGACTTCTCGCACACTCGCTCTTAGATTATGAGTCCCGCTGTCGTGTAACAAACAACAACAATAAACTCCTCGATCGTCGCCATGAACAGCTGGATCAACGGCTTCGGACTATTCAAAGAGAAATCCGAGCTGTGCCCAAATGCAGAAAGAATGCTCCAAAGCAGACGCACAGCAATGAGTGGGAGAGCAATAAGCACCATGATATAGATGCGTTTCTCCTCGCGGGGAGCATTACCAACGTCGTTCATCGTTATGACGCTAAGAGCAAAGAGGAGGACATAGATGACCGCCAAGATTGCAATACCGATTTTGGTTAGTTTCTTCCCTTCTGAAACCTCTGATCCTGCTTCGTCGGTGCCGCCGGCGATACATAGAACCAAAGCAATCACTGTTGGCAACTGAGCAATCTGGATGATGCGGCTTCGTCGAGCGTTGGCTGTGGCTCGTTTGGTGACGATGTTGGCGATTCCTGATGCGGGTAAGAAGTTGTTGTTCATACTGCGTACGTGGAAGGACACTTCGTCTGTACTGTGGAAAAGTTAGCATTACTTGAATTCTCAAGATGGGATGAGTACTAACACCCGTTTCAACAGGCCCAAGCTTGCCATCAAGAGAGGAGACAAGCCAACGGACTGTAGAATCTCGGCCCATTCAATGTCCGTCTTATTTGTTGGATTGTGTTCTCTTTTGATCTCGAAGATGGCGCCAGCAATTCGGACAACGCAGAAGATTGTAAGGTAAATCCATCCGAGTTGCTTTTGGAAGCCATGACGAAAGATTATGATAGCGGTGAGAAGGAAGATTGGGATGTAAACGACAAGTTCAGCGTAGGCAATGGCTTCTGCGGTAGAAACCATAATGCTGGATAGTATGTGAAAGATGAAATAGGATGATTCAGAGATATGGAAGAGTTGAAGATGTAGGTGGCGAGGAAGGGATGAAGGCGACGAGCTTGAATGTTCTGATAAAGATGACAGAAACGTACTTCGTCTTCTTATTATATAGAAAGAAAAGGGAAGGATTGAAACTTTTCAATGCGGTCATATCAGAGATGTTGAATGCAGTTGACTCTATCGCAGCAAAGAACCCAGGGATCAATTCCCTATCTGCTGCGTCCCCACAGCTACGCAACGCAGCGATATCAAATTTAGGGACTTCAAAATCCGGCACCCTGACCCCGTGTTGCGGCTTTACCCGCAACTCACCGCTAGCCTTGATGATAAGTCCTGCACTCGCAGATCCAGCAACCTCGACGTTGTTTGGGAAGAAGAAAGTCAGATGGCTCTAGGCCCCTTCTAAATCTTCCGTGTAGATCCGCTAGCAGCCCTTGAACACGCTACTCAAGGACCCCCAGAAGCGGTTAGCAAAAGAGGCTTCGGCGCTGTGCGCAGCAAATCAAGCTTTCTCGCTCCACTGAAAACATGCACCATCGGGGGAAGCGATGCTCCACCGGCCACACCTCACCTCCAACCTCACCTGCCACCTTCGTCTGAATGCTTCTCGTAACCCCACTAGCCGCAGCACAGTCACGATTCCAGGGAACCGGCCCATTGTAAGTCCTTAATCGCTCGTTGTTTTAAGAGCTGGTACGACGTGCATTCCAGAATGCCAGCCCCATAGGCTGTGGCTGTCCCAACCTGCCCGCAGTGCACATGCGCGGGCATCTGTCAGCAATGGTTCCTGCTGCTCGGGGAACAATGACGACGATCTACGCGCCTCAACGAGCGATAATAAAAGATATACAACTCCTACAAAGCAGCCTTTTGCTCCTTTCGTAGTCCTCAGAACCGTACGCCTTGGCACTTCGTCGAATCTTCGTTGAGCTCTCGCTGCAGCCCTACCGCTGACCCCTTCGGCACCTCTGGCGCCAAGCCCCTGTCGACCTTAAATTGTTCCGAGCAACTTTCAAACATGGTCTATTGTGGGAAGCCAAGTAAGGCGTGTGGAGAATGTAGGTTGCGAAGGACGAGAGTGGGTTGCATGCCCTTGCCCTTTATTCCACGCAGTTTGCTGAAATGGGAAAAGTGCGATTACAAGAGGCCATCCTGCACACAGTGCTTGAGAGCTGGCCGTACCTGCAACGGCTATCGAGATACCAACGATCTTATATTTCGTGATGAGTCTCAAGGGCTGTCTGATAAACATCGACGCTCGAAAGAGGCTCAGGCTCAAGTGAAAGCTCAAAGATCGCGTGCAACCGATATTCCTTCAACATCCGTTTCCGAGGTCGACTTCGCCGTTATTGCATTACCGCAACCTGAACAGTTCCGGAATCTGTCTCCCTTGTCCCTCAGCCTTGCAACTTCGGCTGAGGATCAAGCCACCTGCTTCTTCTTCCAAAACTATGTCTTGGGAGGCCGCGATTTGTTCAAAGGCCATATCGACTATCTTTCCGACATATACAGCAGTGAGGAGGTTGGAAGTGGACTTGCGGATAGCGTAGCCTCTCTTGGGATGGTTGGACTTGCCAACTTCTGGAAAGCTCCGAATATTATGTCAAACGCCGTCATCAAGTACAACTCTGCGATGAGAACTGTCAGTTCGCAGCTGAGGGACGTTGAGCAGGCTAAGTCCGATCAGACTTTGATCTCAATCTTGTTGATGGGGCTTTATGAGGTACAATCGATCTTGTTATTCGGGTTTCTCTGCGTTATACTGACTTAATCTAGACGAATACCTGCAACTCTCGTCAATCAATGGAGGCTTGGAAAAAACATATTACGGGAGCTACTGCTCTCATGCAACTCCGAGGCAAGCAAGCTCTTCGAACACCACTGGGCTACCACATGTTCATTCATTTAAGAGCTCAAGTTGTAAGCTGACTTGGATTACTCTTAAAACCTCTTACTAACTCTTCTTAGCTCACGATCTGCATCCAGAGGCACGCCCCAATACCTCGAATCATCACCGAATGGTCAAATGAGATCGACTTTGAAACCCCTGAGCAGGCAGCTGCAACAGCTCTTGTAAATTTGGGGAGCAGATATTGCGATCTGCGATCTTCGATGAGCTCCTTCCATGATTACAGCGAGGCTGAACGAATCATCACCACAGCATGTGCCATTGACAACGATTACGATCTTTGGGCGAAGACCTGCCCATATCAGCTGATTTATCAGACGATGACTTTGAAAGAACGAAGCGAAGAGGTTTTCTCTGATCATTACCATGTCTACCCCAATCTCTGGGTCGCCACAGTCTGGAACCAATACCGTGCTGTTCGGCTTCTCGTCAACGAGCTCATTCTCGACCAGCTGTGCCACCTCTACCTGAACAGCCCGGAATCTACTTTGATTTGGAACGATGTCTACTTCTTCGAGAACCAAGTTCTCGCCTCGAATACCACCCTCCTACAGCTATGCCATGATATCTGCGCCACTGTCCCCTTCTACTTGGGTTTCGATCCCAATGCAGACAAACGTATGCCAAGAGCAATTCCCAAGGCTGTTAGCGGAAATATGCTACTTTGGCCGTTGTACACAGCGGGTTGCACCGATCTGGTGTCGGACATGATGCGCGACTGGGTTGCAGGACGTCTTCGATGGATTTCTGATGTCATTGGCATTCGACAAGCAGCTCCGTTGGCCTTCAGCCTGCGGAGGAAACAAGACCTCTTGACATGGCAGAACGAAAAGGAGGATGACGATGTTTGTAGCCCAATTTTGAACGTGGAGTCGCCAGATATAGAGACGATGATATGAAGTTGACCTGCGTTGTCTCGTTGAGAAAGGAGGACGGTCAAATTTGGGCATGCAACTTCGAGAATTGCAGCGAAATCAAGGACGCATTGGAAGAAGCAATGAGACATTGAGGAGGGGGCTTTCCACTGCATCCATCAAACGGCCGATACCCCAGCAGCCTCCAACCATTCCGCCTGGAGGGACCTTGACCATATCTGGTGGTGGATATTCCAGAGAACTATTTCTCACCTGCTCAGAAGTTGCGCTGTTGCTCCCGCCTACTGCGATGGAAGGTGCATCCTTGATTTTTCCGATTCCCTGGACAATGAGATACTAACAGCCATCGAGCCACCCGACATTCTATCCATTTCCTAGACTTCCAAAGGATTTACGCGAGTGCATCTACGAATGGCTCGATCCTCCACCTCAGATACTCCATTTGTCTTACGAGCAACATCCATCAACGTCACGGCACAGGATAATGGAGCGAATGGAGTGGTGGTGCACATGGGAGATGCTCTCGCCACAGCTGTGTTACGAGAACTATTTGGCGGTGCTCACGAACCGTTCGATCTGCCGTGAATCCCGCCGTCACTGCACCGGGAAGTACTCGACTGTAAGTCCCAACTTCTCGGAATCTTTTAACCTCTCTAGTAGCATTGTCCAACAGCCCCTGGAACATTCTACTCATAAGAATACCTGAACGAGACATACTGACTCCGATTTCTTGGGAATAGGTTCACCTCGGCGAAGATCCCACAAACCTAACAATTTTCAGCTTCAAGACGGACACCCTTTTCCTCGATTACAATATACTCCCTGAACGCGGTTTCCTGGAACGAATATTGCCCCCGCCGGGTGCACGCTCTCCATTCAATCACGACCATCACGTCAGACACTTGGCGATTTGCAAGGAGTTTTGGTTCGATTGGCAATTCTTGAAAGACATGGGCGATAATGTCACATCCTTGGGCGATGATTGGCGTGGCACTTCTAAGGAGGATTTCAAAAACTGGATAGTAGCTCATATGCACAAACTGAAGGCGGTGCGGCTCGATCAGGGCACATATCTGCTCCCCCGAAGCTCCCCGATAGGTTGCTTGTTTGTGGATGCTGGCTGGCGTGGATTCCCACCAGACCCACACATCGCAAGGTTCCAAAAAGCCTTCCAATTGAACGAATGTGTCGACATTAAGACAGTCTGGCCAGAGAGGTTGGACACACCCGGATGGACGCATTCAGCTGAGGATTATACCTCTGGCATTTGGCAATGGCCTTACGTTTCAAAGGATAACCTCGTTAAGATCACCGAGTACAACAGTGTCTCTTTCGGATGAGATGCGGGAGTGCAACACCAATTAGCTTATTAGGCTGTTGGCTGTTCCGAGGCTGCTTGGAACATGCCAACTATGGAGGCGAATGGTATGATCATTCTTATCATTACTCAGTAATCAGTTCTCCGTTCTTCTCTCGCCAATGGCCTCATTGCTGGAAGTCGAATGAGCTTCAATGTTCCAGTGTGCCTTGGTCCATTCATGAAACTTTGGGCTTCCCCCTTGATGCAAAAGACCACCAAATTTGAACCGAAAAAGCGTTTTCATTTCATCGGAGAAGGAGATTCGTAACATGGGAGCGAGATCTTAATTCGTTCCCGCCACGCCTCGTCCAACATCATTCGGAAAGATTTAACATTTCTCGAAATGGATAAGCTTCTGAAATTTCTCATCAACTCGAGTTTCAAGCACATCGGTTACAGCCATGCGGCCTCTTTTTCCTCTCAGCCATAAATGGGTGGTGTTGGCAACACCAGATTCCCATGACTTCCATGCTACTCGGTGAGAAAATTACATGAGCAATATTCTCGTGCGAAAACGCACATAAACATATAATTTTATTTCCATTCTATTCCCATCCAGCCTCAACATTCAATTCGGTCATTTCAAAGCATGACTGGTTGCCCTGTAAGGCTGAAGAGGCATAATCCAGCTCCGATCACATGACAATATTATTTCGGGTGAAAGCGGGCACAAACCTCCATTGTGAGTCAGCATCCATTCATGTCTCGCACATCTTGTTGTTTCACTTCAGGCATCCTCTTCTTGTATTTCTATATCAGATCAACATTCCTTGTCCACTCTTCTCTCTCAATATCGATCTCAAAGTCCTCAAATCACCAACCAACCAATCAAGCAGCAACGTTGACGACAACACCTAACGGAAATGGCACCCAGACCCCTCCTCCTCCTCACCACCCTCAGCCTCGCTCTCCCAGCCGCCGGTGCCCTTTTACTATCAACCTACCTCTATAACTACCCTCTCTCCGCCTCCAAATCCCGCACCATCAAAACCTCAAGTTCTCTCTCTCCTACAAGCTCTACTTCCCCATCCCTCAAGATAATCAATCCTCACGCCTACCCCCAAAACTCATCTACCGATTCCCGCCTCATTATCCTCTCGAAATCAGAAATTAGGAATCTCACAGATGAGGAAATCTTAGCCAGGTTTCTAGGGGGTTTCTTTGGAGGATGGATTTTCATGCCTGAGAAAGGGATAATTTCGCTGTTTCAAGTTTTTGGGAGGCCGATGATTACTGTGGGTTTCACTGGTGTTCCGATGAATGGGAAGCGGATTTTGAGTCCGAGTGCACTTGAGAGGGAGAAGTTGCCTGAAAAGGGAACGGTTTTGCTTGGGGGGAATTTCATGGTTCTTGATGCACAGCTAAAGGGAAGGGGGGAAGAGGACGGAGAAGGTTGGGAGGGCGAAGGAGGAGGGAGTTTTGTTGAGGTCGGGTTTGGGGATGATAGGAGGGGGTTTGCGGGGATGCATCGCTTTGAGGTTTTGAGGCTGTCGAACTCAACGGACGGGAAAGGGGAAGAGGTGGGGGGAGAGGATGGGAGAGAGGGGGAGGAGGGAGGAGGCGTGCAGCTCTGGTATTCAAGTATTTCATGTAATCCGAGGGAGAACAAACTCCCGTTTCCGAAATGGGTGTTCGGTTTTCATGAGTTTTATGCGCAGTGCTTGTTCAGGGATGGGGTGAGAGAGGTGTTGAGAAATTGAGTTGGAGATATAGGAAGGAAAGGAAGAGTTGGGGGTGTGTAAGATAAAAGGAACTCTCTGCTAAAACTAATTGTTATATTTTCATGTTTGGAGACGAGTCGAGATTGAATTGCGTGACTTGACAGACTTAAGAGAAGTCTTGAAAACGAGTGATTATTTTCAACGATGTCAACGCTGCATTTCAGAGTGACCAGGGTGTTATCGCTTATATGACAGGCGTTTGACTGCTGAACTCCAGAGCCGACTCGCTCGGCTCGGCCCCGGAAACTTATAAAAATGTCGGCCCACCCCCACAACCCAAAAGAAAGACTAGAGGAATTCAAAGGGCCAGGGATAGGTAAAAGAAGCAAAAGAAATCTTTTCCGACCCAGAAACTTGTCCTTCGCTCCATTATCTGTGAGCATACCTCCTAACCGTACAAAATTCATACGACATATTGGATCTTACAGAATGTGGAGAAAGCTTAACGGGGCAGGGGCCACTAATTGTTGGAACAGGAAATGCTTGTTTGGAGATATACGACCGAACCCTTAGTAGGACTAACGTTAGAACTGCGGGTGAAATAAATTAGAATGAGAATTGATGGAAATTCAACTACCAAGGAGATCAGATGCAAAGCGGCGAAACCTCAGCACCAAAAGTGCAAGGTAGAGAGAAGCCAGCAGCTGTCTTCAGTAATTACTGGAGCACATTCCAATCATCGTTTCATGCCTTCTAGCAGTTGAACCTTTTTGACGAGATCGGATCTTGGAAATTCCGGGATCTTCATGAGTGTATTAAGGTAATTTTGGTCAAGGACATAAGAAGCCAGCTACTGTTATAGTTTTGGGAATATCAAGTGCTTTACGATCAAACTTTACGCCTTGTCCAAAACACCAACCAGCACACTCCCAACCACCGTCAACATCGGCGCATACCCCCAATGATTCCACTCTCCCTTCCCATGCATGTAGCACACTGCTCCATCCGCAAACGCCACCGCACTAGCAGCAATCAAGACCCAACCCGCCGCCTTGCGCTGTCCACAGTATGCCATGATGTTGATTGCCACGCCCATGAAAATGTCTCGCACACCATAGATGACTGAGAGACTTTCGACGACTTTTCTGTCAGCAGGGAGCGAGGGAACGTCGAATTCGAAGAAGGTGAGCGCTTGGATGGGACGCAGGACAGCGTTGATGCCGAAGCCGATGAAAATTACACCGAAGATGTTGGCGGCGATGGAGAGCGCGGTGGATTGGGAGATGGGAGCCATGGTGTGGATTGTTTGGATCTATGTTTAGTCAATTGATGCTCTGATATCAATTGGGGTCTTGCGTACCTTCGCGTGGTGAGAGCGGGTTTCGAGGAGGAATGTGTGAATGGGAACTGGGGATCCAAAGACTATGCAAACTCAAGGCTTTCTTGAGGGTACGAGTCTTGAAAGTCGCTGGGATTTCTGAGAAGCGTGTTTGTGTCTTTCTGTGCAATTGAAGCCCTCTCAATGCGGGGAAATGGCTTTAATAAATAGTGTTCGCGCCGTCTGGGCGCGGACATTTCGTTGCGCCGTGTGGGCAGGCAGCCATCGCGAAGTCATGTGATACCACGAGCACCCCTTTGAAAAGTCCGATTAACCATGCATTCTTCTGATAGCACAAGGGGCCGCATAAGCAGGTGCAAATGCGAAGAGTAAAAGTCAGATTTTCTCTCATTAAGAGAATATATTGCAATATTGGGCAGTCCCGCCCGCCCCCCACCCCCGGGTAATAAAACTGCGCAAGAGAAAGTATTATTTTAAAAGAGGACTTGGTTTGAAGAGCAGAGTGTTTATTCTTGGAGGATGGCCTCTAAACCCCCCTCCCCTTAAGTATCTGCTCATTTTTTAATTTTACAGATCGCGTGCCATTGGATTTTTAATGTCACGTGAACATTTTGCCACGCCAGCCCACCGCGCGTAACTAAAACTTCGCTTTGACAAGTCAAAATCTTACTTTTAATTAATTAGTTATCTTATTACGTTTTTATTAATTATTTGCTTACTAAAATATTAGCTTTATAAGTAATTTTAAATAGAATTTACTTTTAATTTTATTTATTTTAAGCTGTATCTTTTATATACAAGTTCATGTACTTTACTTCTAGGTTTTATATATGTAATCTCTAGTTTATAAAGATGAGAGAGAGAGAGAATTCTAATATTATAAGCCAGGCCTTTATATATAAAAAACTAGTAAATTAATTAGTTAAATAGAATTCTTTAAAGAGAAAGAAAGAGAAAGAAAATGAAATAAAATGCTCCCGCTCTAGAAGCGCTTAGTAGAGATAGTAATAACCCTCCCAGGCACGACTGTTAAAGAGGAGTTCCGTTGCCGCAATACTGCTATTAATATAATCGCTGCCTATTACTACTTCCAGGAAGGGAGAGCTACTGCCCTAGTACGCAAAAGGTTATCTACGCGACGGGCGAGTCTACTGCCGTCGAAGGAGACTAACCCGTAGCTAGTAGCCGCCGAGACCGAGAAGCAAGGATTAAGCGACGCGATATTATTGGTATTAACAGAGGAGACGACTACTATTTGCGTCCTCTGCTTAGGGGAGCAGAGCTTGCTGTTTGGAAAGTGCACCTACAAGTTTGCAAGTCCGGGAAACTTGACGAAGCACTTTAAGCGGAAGCATTTGGCCCATATTAAAAGTAATTTGGCTCCGGTACAAAGTCTGTCGAATAGAGCTGTAGCACAAGTATCATCTCTAGAACCACGCAGAGAGCATCCACGGGACCGTTTCCTTGTACTTTAATAATATACCAAGAGCGCATGGTCACAGAACTTGCGTTTGCCCCCTCTTTTCTTTCCTTCTTTGCCTTTCTCGAATCGACCAGAAGACACTCCGCAGAACCGTTCATCGCAACTACGGCGCAAAGATGTCGGCCTTCCCATTCAAGTTTGAAGCCTTCAATCACTAAGATGGTTGCAAGAAGTTCTGGTAGCGCAGCAAATATCGGCCACGAGGGGGAGGGGTACGAAAGTGTTCCGTTGACTGTATTAACTCCGAGGGTATTGGATCCGAGGGAGAACTGGTTAGCGCCTTAATGTCCTTCAAATCTTCGTTATCTAAGTTACAAAGGGAATATAGTTTGCGATACTGAGCTGTTTACAGTCCATCCGCGCGCAACTCATTCGAGCTGAAATTGGGCTTGGTGACCTCATCCTTCTCCGCGCTCTTAACTTTCTCCCAGAATATCTCCCCGCTCTCTCGGTCATTGGCAAACAAGTGATCAATAACCATCTTTTTCGGAGTCTCACCCATCCACTGGAACAAGGAGAAGTCTCTGAATTCGTCGGCGCGGAAGACTTCGAGCATCTCAATCGGCTCCTCCCCAATATTCTCCACAAAATGACCCATATTCCGCGGCACAATTCCAACATCACCAGGCACGTAGTCGAATGTCCTCGCTGTGCCTTCCGAGGCGAAGATGGTAATACGAGCGCGTCCCTTGAGGAAAAAAGACCACTCGTCAGCATTGGGATGCCAGTGCATCTCCCGGATGGCACCTGGCTCGATCGTAACGTGTGCCGCAGCTACAGTCTTCGAGATTGGAAAATTCTTGGAGTCGGTAACGCGAACTTCTCCGCCGCTTGTTTGCTTCGGCTCTTGGTCCAGCATTCTGTGGGTGAAGTTGTACTTTGATTTCTTCACGCCTTTGCCGGTTGGCTTCTCTTGGTCGATCGAGCCAGGTTGAGACCCCTGGAAGATGTACTTCTCGCTGTCCGGAATGTGTGCAAAGATCTCTGGCGCCAGGTTGAAATTCTTGGAGATCACAGACTTTGGTGTATGCGCTATTCCGGTTAGCTGTAAAGGGGACAAACGAACGACTTGGAGACCTACCTAGCCAGTCGGTCAAGATGAAAGTTGATTCTTCGGAGAAGTTCCCGTCGTCGAAGACCAGGAGAAACTCGGTGCCGTTAGGGCTGAGACCCTGCAGCGAATGAGGCACGCCGCTTCTATGTAACGCGTGAGTCAGTAATTACTTGATCAATACTGTTCAGGGAGAGCTAAAATGTGAAAATCATGGACACTGAGATTTAGGGTGGGGGTTCACCTCCCAAACTTACGGAAAGTACCAAAGATCGCCCTTCTTTAGATCGTCGATGAAGTTACCGCCTTCATAGTCAAGGGCGGTCACGCGGACTTCTCCATCAAGCACATATGCCCATTCCGCTTCCTTGTGCCAGTGCAGTTCACGGATGACGCCTTTGTCGAGACGCATATTCACGCTGGCAAGCTCGACACTTGACCCAAGTTCTCGAACTGTCGTCTGGCGCGTCCATCCACCTTCCTATGAAATTTGAATATTCGGGTCAAACTTCTTGTAGAGAAATATCTTACCTCTATACGGACATGAGAGTCCGCAAAACTCCAGCGCATATTCATCATGTTACCGTGATCTGTACTCGGGGGCCGCACGAGATCTGGGCTCTGCCGGGAACGCTCCCAGTTCCAGGGTCCAAGAACCGACGCCCCCAGCCCATTCCGCCATGGCAAGGGATCCAAATTATCCCCAACAGCATCTACGGCCCTGTCGAGAGGGTCTTTGTTGCCGGGAGTGTAGGGCGGGGCGATGTTTGTCTTCCGGTACTTTGCAGGTAGCTCATAGCCATCGAGGAGCCGTTGTCGAGGACTATCCTGCACGGGGATGGCGAGTACAAGCCCATTTAAGGCAGCAAAAAGTAGGACTCTGCTCCAGCTCTGCATCGTATTGACTAGAAGGGGGGGGGCAACTACGTCTGTGGGTCGGAATGTCAGGGAGTTTGACGAAATAGTTTTCTCGACTGGCAGCAGATTGGCGGCTTTATGTAAGATGAAATTCAAGAATCTGGTCAGATATAACACCTACCCCGGATACCTAGGCAGTTTTCGAAGGATTCCAAATGTAGCGGCTATCAACTGAGCTTTATCCCTAGGTTGTTTCGCATAACCCCACGATGATGCTTCTGTTACCGAGTTTCTTGAATACTGACGCCGAAAGAAAGCCGAAGGTCCCGATAACTTCAAGCTTGAAAAGTTTAAGACATAAGTGCTATGACTCGAGATCGACAGGAATGATTTACATTTTGCACACTCCGAGAGTGCCGTGGTAGGGTGTAAGCGACCCGCAGCTGGGTGCATCATGACTACTGCACCTGCTAAGCTGTTTTTCGCTTACGTATTAATTATTAAGGGGGACTAAGTTCGGAGTTCGGGGTTCTTCCCGTCACAGGCTGTCATCGATTTAAAGTTTGGGTGCATAGCAAACCACTTTTATTTATTCTTATATGTTAAAACACCCTCTGTGCATACTCTGCGAAGAGTTCAGTTTTACGCCAACTCGCTATGGCGCGGAAAAGCAGACACGGCTCCTCACGGAACCCAATGGCAAGTAACGGACCAGAGACCTCTGTAATTCCCGACGAGGAGCAGCCTTTGCTCGAGATATCGGTATCAAAATCTGGCTGGCGGAAGAACATGATGGTTGATGTGACTCGCGATAAAGCCGATGTAATTCTTCTCCTGTGCTATATCATCACTGGCCTCCTTGACAGTGCAGCTATATCCACCTGGGGATCCTTCGTTTCTATGCAGACAGGTGTGTTCCATCTCGTCTCATAATGTCACAAAAACTGACAAATGCTTATCAGGAAACACCGTCTACATCGGACTCGGCTTGGCCGCACCCAGCGAGTCACAACGCTGGATTAAATCAGGTGTAGCTCTCATGTCTTTCTGCTTCGGATCTTTCTGCTTCAGCCGCTTCCACCGCTACTTCATGCCTTGTCGGCGCTGGGTCCTCTGCGCATCATTCATAGCACAGATGTGCTTCATAATCGCAGCTGCCGCAATCCTCACCTGGGGGGCTACATCAGCCAACGAGAAAGACGACATTGGCTGGAACGTTCTCGTACCTATTGCATTAGTCGCTTTCCAGAGCTGTGGCCAGGCAGTTACAAGTAGAGCGCTCAGGTACAACGCTCTCACTAGCGTTGTGTTGACGAGCCTCTACTGTGATTTGTTCTCGGACGCCGAGCTGTTTATGTTAGACAACTCGGACAGAAATCGCAGAATTAGTGCTCCGGTGTTGCTTCTATTAGGTGCCATTGCTGGTGGCTTGGTAGCTCATAGTCCCATAGGTACTGCAGGTGTTTTATGGATCGCGGCTGGGCTTAAGTTGGTTGTGGTCTTTTCTTGGTACTCTTGGCCGGCCGTCGAAGACTAGGAGCAAGAGATCAACGGGAGATGGACTTTGTTCTATGGCATGTGGGTTGGACATAATTGCACAATCACACATGGCTAGCAGAATTTTTAGTCGAAGGGGGAAATGAAGACCTACCCTCTACTGGAGCTTACCTTTAGCTCTCTCCGCTTACTCGAAAAGTTCGAGTTGGCTATTTCAGGTCTTCACATCACCTGCCGCACTTCCAAATTTCAATCCCGTTTCAGAAGATTTAATTTCGTCAAAACAAGCCAAAAGAAATCAATACACTTTCCCTGGAGTTCTGAACTCAGTTTTGGTTATATCGTGTGCCTGTCGTTGGAATCTTTTGAAGTGTTCAGCCCGAATTTCGGCAACAGCCTGTGATCAAAAAATACCTTAGTTCAGCTCCGTCCGCCGAGTTTGACGTCACCTTGATCAACCATACACCGCTCTTGTGTTCTCTCGGTTGGCAAGAGAGTGTTCTGATGACGTCCTAGAATGCTGGACCGCCTTCGTGTAACAAGAATATAGAGTCTGCTTTGTAAGTCTCCTCGCCAGTCATTAGCGCTGATAGAAGAGGATGCAGATACGCGTATAGTCAGATATATTGCAGAATGTCTCAGGTGACAGGTGGCAGGTCTGAATTCTTCGGGTTCAAGATGAATATGTAAACACCTTGCCTCGAGGTACTTTCACTGTAACAAGTTCATGGTAACAATCTTACCCTTACACGATCCTCGGCATGATTTTACACGTTTCTTCTCGCCGTTCAGCACTCGTTTAGATCTGTATCACACCAGTGCTTGCAGACTTTTCTTTCTCCTATAGATCTGAGCAGCAGCAACAGTCTCATCGCTACCAGCTGGGTTCGCTTGGACGATTGATCCTTACGGCTTTCCGTAACGGGCTCACTCTTGGCGCAGCCAGCTCACCTGTCTGAGCAACTTGAGCAGTCCCTATATATAAATACTGTAAATAAATAACAAATTTGAAAAAAAATCTCAACTTTAGTTTTATTAACTAATTTAATGTATAATATAAATTAATAATTCTTTTTTCTTTTAAGTAATAGCGCGAGCCAAAGATTTGGCCAATCGAGACGCGCAGCGGCGCGAAATCCCAAGAGAAATATAACCATATCAAGTGGAGGCGGTGAGCCCCGAAAACGTGACCTCCGCCCAGGGGAAGAGGACAAAACACCTCAGAGGACCCTTTAACTAACGTTAAGGGCACGTTAAAGGCATTCAACTTTATTAATTTCCCTTTGCCTCCCCATCTTCAGCTACAGAAGCTTGGATCCGCGGAACCAATGGGACGAGAAATGTGGCGTCTAGCTGTGCCGCACTGCTGACGGGAGGAACGATTTGAAGGATTGAGTTCTGACGGTAAAAGGGAGGCTTCTTGGTATCTGTTCTCGGAGAGTTGAACAAATTCTGCAGGCGCAGAAGTAGAGGGCAATGATTCCAATTCTCGGAAGAGGCTCAATGGGTTTATCTCCCCCAATCAAGACGAGAAACCAGCGAAACTCGTTTCTAATTATGCCCGTGGCTACTTCTAATATTTGAGCTTTCATAACTGAGAGAAGATGGAGAGTCGCTCTTCTAACGGGATCACTATAAATAATGTAAGTAGGAGAATCATGTAACCAAAAGGTAGCATCTTACATGGCCCACCTGTAGTGGAAACCTCGACCTAAACGACCTCATCTCGATCAGAAAGGCCTCATCGCCATGAGATGACTCATTACCATCACAAAATGCGACCACCTTGATCTTCGGAGGTTTTAGATGCGGAAACTCAAACCGAAAAGCCTCAATATTTTCATCCACCATCGACATCACCAAGGAGGCACTTTCTCCTCTGACAGTCCCTGGTGTGATGCTTCGAAAGAAGAGCGGCACTAGTAATGTGCGCTCAATCGTCAGAACAATTAGAATCTCATCCAAGGAGTGGAGAATGCGAGGCCATTGCAATGGAAGGTACTCTTCTCCTTGAAAATCCCGCCAGATATGCCAATCGACAGCAAGATGGCGGAACCTGTTCAAATACTCGAAGAACAGCCGGGTGGCTTCCGGCCTGATGTGCCCCGGTTTACCCAGATTACTGATCTCGGTACCGAAAGCTCCAAATTGGTGGCGGACCGGGATGTCAGCGGTGTCTCTCTGGAAAAATAATGTGTCATGTATTTTGTGCGCATAGACCATCTTCCTTTCGTTCCTTCTGGTGGCGACATCTGTAGGTAGCAAAACGTACTCTCTTTTTGCTGCTTCTCTTGAGCTACTGCAGATTTTGAAGACGACAGGGAGGGGGCGATGCTGGGAGGTCACGGTGTACAGAGTGTTGACGTCTTGAAGGGTGACTGCGAAACGATGAGATGACAGTGCCAGGGAGAAGATTCTCGATCCGTCGTCTGGTTCCTGCCTTGCAGCTGATGTCCATATATGCAATTGAAGTTCCATCGGTAGCTGAGAGAAGCAGTGAAATGTTCCCAGAGGTATCATCCCCGAGACATGCAATGATGATGGGCCGGGGCTGTCATAGTTTTTAGCTGGTAGGTCGGACAGCGATACCGACTCCGGACATTTTGGTCGAGGAACGAAACGTCCCATGAGGTTGAGAAAAGGGTTCATTCCTTGCTGAGTTGAAGGCGACTGTGAGTCGTTGGAGCGTGCTTTCCCAAGACGCCAAAGGCTGGGACCCATCCGATGGGAAGATTGAAGTGAACTCCGAGTGCCAGCCCCATCACAATGTGATACGTAGGGTCAACATTACACGAATGCGACAAATCTTCATGTCTTCTTGGCTCAATAATGCTGTGAGGCTTCAAAGTCCCCTAAGTTAAATCGCTCATATGGTCGAGAGGTCCGGAATGCGGAGGTGGGATGGATGCGGACGTTCTTCGAGAGTCATGTAATTTAGGCAGCACGTGGTCTCGCCTAGCAACCCGAAATACAGCCGTAGGCGAAACTGGCTTTAAAATGTCAAACTCAGGTGGTTGGAAACCTTGATTCTCATTATCGAAGGCTGGGAAGCCCCTTAATATAGTACAAATCCACTAGTCTCCCACTAGCCCCCCAGCCCCCTGGCTGCCCTAGACCCATAAGCTTGGCACCTTTCAACATAAAACTCATCTTTTTTTGGAACAAGCCATCGTGCTAATTCTGGGAATTCTAAAGCTTATCTCTACTAATACTAGGACCTTAATAGGCTAGGGGCACGCCGTCACGCGCGTGCCTTGAGGATATACCTTTTAAGCGATTACAAGGGGAAAGAGAGGGACGTGCTTCTTACCCACCTTTTTGTGCGTGTGCCGGGGGCTAAAGAATAGCCGAAAAAGAAAGTCTTACTTTATGATAAAATTGCAAAAATTAGTTTGCTAAGTGCAGAGGAAAGGGGATAGAAGGGAATCAATTTCTCAAATGCATAAGCACCCTCTCTGGGCAGACCCTAGAACGGGTGCTTATGCATCTAAAAGAGAGTCGAGATCCAAAATTACTGCTTTGGGCGTACACCCATGTTTTAGGAATGCTACGCGAGCAAAACAGGGGTGTTGCAGGGGGCACACTGATAATGATAGGTATAAAGCCAGACTCAACCGCAGGTAAAGGGCGTAGAAGTGCCCGAAAATATGCAGTCGAAGGAGACTTATTTACGGATGCACTGGATAGAAGGCCATTATGATAAGAACCGTGAACCCGAAAATTTGGCCCTCTGATGGATAACCCCGTTCTTTCAATCGTGTGACTCTCATCCCCCTTTCTGAGCCGAGATTCTACACGCGAGACGTCGCTTCCTTGTCAGTTCGTATTCTGATGTAAGAATTTGATTACTCGAGAAGAAATACTGCCTTCGCCAGGGGTATATCCTATTTAAAGAAGCGGTTCTCAACTTTATCCCTGTCTTCTCAAGGTTTGCTGTTCGCTGAAACCGCTCGGAATGCTTCAAGAATTCATGAACTCAGTGGATACTGAATTTGCTCGGGGCTTTGAGGTTGACATGAGAAACAAGCAAGCTTTGCTAGGCGGAAAGACTATTCGACATGTTCAGCTGCCTGATCAAACGTTAACATTGTTGTCTTCGATAGCCTTTGTTGCGGGATACCAAACTGGCATCCCATTGTACATCTTCCTTCCTTCCTTCTCAGTGTAATCCCCTACGCGGTCGGATTTCTCATTCCATGCATCAAGCCCCTTTATTTTCAATCTACTAGCTTTCTGCAAAAGCCGCACTAAACATTTGTCCAGCTCGAACGGCGAAACCGGCACGACCCCACTTTGGCGAGAATTTCTTCCTCGTCTTCCATATTGTGGACTTTGCGGAGTTGTTCCTTGAAGGCGAGATGTGTACTGAACTCTGTATGACACCTGTTTCCTCCCACCCGTAATAAATTTAGGTCACAGCTCCAAGTAGCGAAGCCTAAGTGTTGCATAGTTTTCATGACGTTTCCAATCGCTCTTGCTAACAAAACGCTTATATCATTCTATTGACGGTAAGCCAGACACGGCGCAGCGATACGGCCGCTCATGCATGTCTCTTCATATGCTTCCTTTATGTAGTCAATTTGTGAATTATTGTTAAGATGCTGACAACTTCAGTTCGCATTGACGGCCCGTAAAGTTTCCGCACTCTTTACAAGTAACCTGTTGATCCCCTTAGGAATTTTGAAGTATCGCGAGTGAGGGAATGTTGTTGGTTCTCTTACATCCACTCCGAGATTATTCTCTTTATTGATGGAAAATCGATATATTAAAGGTTAATAGACTACAGAATGACTAGATACAGAAGAGTGAGTTGTGGAAACAGAGGAAAAGTGTCCAAAGTAAGGGATTTATTCCCATTACCCTTCGGTAATACCGGTAATGCCGAGCCCGCTTTCTCCGATATATTATTAATTAGCTAATAAATCAAAGGTAATCAAAATGACGATATACTAGTAAGCTTGGTAAGCTCGGCGAGTAACGCATGACAAATGAGAGTAGAGAACCCTAAATTAGTGATTAAACCTGGTACTGGAAGGACTAGTAAGCTAGCTATGGTAGCGTACCATTTCAACACTTTAGCTTAACCCTGCGACTTATTCCGCCTGTATGCCCATAGCGCCTTCAATAATCCTCTATACCAAAGCCCTGCACGACATCTGCCTGTGTCCAACTTTGGAGATCTCTATAGGAAGTATACTTTCCGTACCCACAATATTCCCATTTGAAATCCTTACGACAACCCCACCCTTGCTCCTCAACCAAACCGGCGGCCTTAGCCCTTTATACGTCTCTCTATAGGGATATCGCGGCATAAAGTCACTCGACTTTAGTATATGTGCCCTATAGCTATAGCGCCATGCTGTTGGCACGGTGACTATAGCGCTTAGACGCTGAAACTTGGAGGTTTTATAGGCCACGTTAGCGACCAAGTCCCTGTACCTGCAGGGGCATACTCTAGAAATAGCATTACAAGGCTTGGGCCTATAGTTATAGGGACTTCTAGCGTCTGCCTCCACTATAATCTGAGCCTGTAGGGGCGAATAGTATATCTCGGCCAGGCATGCCCCGAAGTCACATGACTTTATGCCGCGATATTCGTACCACCACACCTCACTCCTCTCCTTCTCTCTTTAGCTTTAGATTCTAAAAGACATGAAATGGAGATCTTTGCGCTTCGTTCCAATGCTCCAGCTCCGCCGTCACAGATCTATTCAATGGTTTAGACTAATTCCTTATAAGGGCCTTAATATAATATATAAGAGAGAAAAATTTGGCGATATACTCTTTACACTTAACTAAGATCTTTGCACGTGAGCTAAGAAACGAACCTCGGTATAAGCATAGATCAAATGAGAGGCGATCGCGCTACAGGGGCTAGAGTCTACCGCTCAAGTAGCACACATTTCGATATAAATATACGTTGTTTAAGCACCTTTGGGTGGGAACTGAAGGGGAAAGCGGGGCGAGCTTTCGTTCCAATTCACCTTAGCTCAATTAAGCTAAGTTGAGTTGAGCTGAGCTAAGCTGAGCTCAGCTCATCCTGTGATCTTCAACCACAATTGGATTCACTTGGCGACTATTTATTTCCTCTTTTGGATATCGAAAAAGTGGCTAGTACACGCGTCCTCTGTAGCTCTCATAGGCTGCCCATGCCTGGCCCTACTTTTGGGCCCCTCGGACTGGGGGTTTGTGTTTGACTATGATTTATAGAAGCGGGTCGGGAACACCAGACCTTGAGATAATACTACTGTGTGGGTGGTAGTGAAGTGCGAATAAAGTTTTATTAGTTCAGAGACCCCTATTAGACCCGTATACTAGACAAAAAATTTCTATCATCTCTAATATCTGGCGCGATTCATTACTTTCGTCCGCTTTGGGAAACCAATTCGAGAGAGTCCACTGCGGCGACCTGATTTGATCGCTCTCCATGCTCAATCCGTACAAGCGCAAAAGATGACAAGCCAATACCCCCTAACGCACCAACTCTCCAACCAAATCTTCTCTTCAGCACTCAGCCTCGAATTGCCTACATCTGCAACTGCGTTGAAAAATGTTTAATCAGGCATCCTGTGCTGAGATCTGAGATTTTGAAGAAACTGCCCAGCATTGCGATGCCTGTCAGCCACCATTCTGACGCTTTTCTGATACCTTTCTGACTGCGAGGGCCTCGGACTGCTCGCGACAGGCCAATTGAACGAGCTCGTGAGCGCCAGGAAGACGAACTTCAGGTATGATAGAAATCCGACGAGGAAATATATAATGGGAGCCTCTGCTCCTTCGTAAGTAAGTATCAAGTTCAATACTTAATCAGAGGTTCTGCACCTTCTCAAGACCACCCGTTTATAGCTCCAACTCGAAATCATGGGCCTGTTCCATAACAATGACGATTCTACCAGCAATCACACTTGTCCCAATGTCAGTGTTACAGATCCCGGTATGACACAAAAGCCCGCAGTTTGCCCCCCCACCACTAATCGTTGCCATACAGCTCAAGTCCCCTTCGTAGGCAATTTGAGCTTCCATCACTTCATCGTCATTGTCTCAGGCGCGTGTATGGCATTTTCAGGTCTGGTGTCCTTCTACTTGATCTTCCGACATGCCACACATTACTCCCTCCCGAAAGAACAAAGACAGTGTGTCAACCCACCTTTGATAAGAATTGCTAGATTGGGTCTAATAATGCACAGGGTTATTCGAATCATCTTCGTGATACCTGTTTTTGCAGTCGTTTCCTTCCTATCAGTTGCTTTCAATGACGCAGCCGTCTACCTGAAGCCTATCGAAGACCTATACGAAGCATTCGCGCTTGCAGGCTTCTTTCTCTTACTCTGTGCCTTTGTGCAAGAAAGCGACGAGGAACGGCAAAGATTCATCGCAATATCAGGTACCACAAAGCAATATCTAGTAAGATTACAATATACCAAAATCAACTCACTGCACCCTGCTAATCCTCTCAAAGGGGGCAACTATCGGAGCTTTTCAATTTCCAGTCATTATGCTTGTGGTCCTTGTTGTCACCGAAATCACGGAGGCTATGGGTACATATTGTGCCACTTCTAGTAAACTATACTTCGCACACATCTGGGTATGAGCTATCCCGAATAAACGTGAACAAAATTGTTAACGTTCTTGCCTAGCTTACAGTCATCACCCTTCTTAGCACCACGGTGGCTATTATGTCCATAATCAGATTCTACAAAGCCCTCAAACCAACCATCTCACAGAGGAAACCTCTTCCAAAGCTCATCGCATTTAAGGGAATTGTTTTCCTTAACTTTATACAAAATGTGTGTTCACAGCTTATATTCCTTTCTTTGGTGCAATTCTAATCTGTCTTAGGCAATCTTCTCATTTCTAACTTCCTCGAATGACCTCAAGCCAACCACGAAACTCACTTTCGAAGACCTCTCCGTCGGAATCCCAAACCTAATCCTCGGTCTCGAAATGGTCATATTTGCCCTCCTGTTCCTGTACATCTACAGAACGAAAGAATACTACTTTAAACATGGGGCTGCAGCAGTCCCTCTAGGGCATGGGGGCTACCAAGGAGGATTCCTAGGAATCAGAGCCTACGGACAAGCGTTGAATATTATCGATATACTTGGAGGGATTATCAGTGTCCCTCGAGTCTTTGCTGAGAGGAAGAATTCGGGCACAGGTACTCAGAAGGGATGGACTACAAGCGCACAGGTGAGTGAATTGCCGGCCCATACTCATGGATGGAATGGAGTCTAACGAGGGAAGAGGAGACAGTATGAAAATATTGAAATAACACCTGAGTATCATTCAGAACAAGCTCAGCCCCTTCAGAGTCATCTGCCGGATCAAGGGTACGACACTCCTCACGCATATTTGCCATACAATGCACCCCAGGGGTATCATCACTAGGCGGTGGTTTGGCGAGATACAAGCAGTGATTTTCGGCGCTGGGAGAAAGCATGTCGTGGTTATGGGCTTGCTATTCGTGTTAGATTATTTTGGGTTTCAATAGTATTAGTTCACGTTAAAGCATGATGAATGTGCAGTATTATTATTCAAGAACCTTCCAATGTTAAGGTAATTAGGCACAGACGATCCTTGAATCCTGATCACAACAACGATCTCTTGCCAAGCACAAACCTCAGGTGCTTAACCAAACTAAATCTATCTCGTGTACCACACCATATCAACTCAAGCTGATGCATTGATCAAACATTGGCAGTAAGCAGCGAGACCGCTTAAGTCCAGAGTAACATCATTGGATGTGCAATCCAGTTTTGCGAAGAGAGCGGGCCGCCGGCTCTGCTGCGAGCTACAGACACATTGGCTGAAGAAACTGTCGTCAATTCCATTACCAACACAATTTGCATTTGGGTTGTCCTCGCCGACTTCAATAATGAGGCCGAATTGTATGCAGGGAGGAATCAAATCGTAGAAGCCGCTGCACGCGAAGCTGGGTGTCCATGAGACTGTGGAGGTAGTCGTAGTCGTTATGGTTAGTGGATTGCAAGATGTTGGGCCAATTGTAACGGCACTTGCTGGGAGTGTGATGGCGACATATATTGTTTAAGTTGGAATGGGTGGCGGCGACGGAGGTTGAGATACGGAAGATCGCGATGAGGTTGTCGTCGAGGCGGTAATCCAGCAGGAGTATGGGCTTGAAAGTCTCGATGGATGCCCGCCAAACTGCTCACTGAAATGTGATAGGGCAGTGACTGGACTTGTTGTATGCGCTGCAGAAGGAAGAAGCCGCCACGGAAGTTCTCGTAAAAGAATTGAGACAATTCTCTCTCTCCAGGTGGCAACTAGCAGATACGAGTAGAGAAGGTGAGAGAGCGAGGAAGAAACCAATGGTTTTCATCCTGCTAAGGTAAAAGCAAATGGCTATATGTCAAACTGGCAAACTGTGAATAGATTCGAATGATTGCAGACAGTCGAGGCAATTCGGGGACAACACTACTCTCTATATCTCGATGCCCACTTATTTCGCCGAAGATTATTTTCGACTGTTGTATGGATTTCAAGCCACATGGTTGCATTAGCTGAACGTTGATGTTAGTCAAGGGTTTGGTAACATGGTTTGTGTGGTTATGTGGCTAGGTGACGTCCTTGCAGTTGCAGGCTTATTGCGGTCTGGACAGCATGGGGCACTCCAAGCACTGTCACATTGAGTATTGAGGTCCCTGGTTTGCATAAGCCTTTCACATGATACGTTATCACATAACCTTTGGAATCTCAATAGCCAGCCTTAGCTGGCCCGAAGAAGGAAGGAATACGGTAACTTCAAACCTTTAAGCTTCTTTACGCATGGGATTATCCGAGATTAATATTGCTTGTATTGGAGAATAAGCATAACTTGTAGTAAATCAGCTCGATAGGATTTCTTAGTGACCGCTATTACAGAATTGCAATGTAAATTACAAATTCTCATGCCGAGCTTTATCGTTATCTTCTGGATTTGACCACTCAACTCTATGCCTCAAAGGGTGGTAGAGATTGGTCACGTGTGCCAACCCAACAGGGTGGTTGACCAAGATCGGTACCTTCTCATCCTCAGCCTTTCCTTCCATCGTAACCATATTATGGCTTCCTCCAATTGCAACCTCACATTTAAATTTACTGTCAAATTTGACAAGAATCTACTCTTATTCTCGTGGGTTGGCAATCAACACCAGTGGCTCGTCCTCCCACTCCGATCTGCGAAGACTGATGCACACAAAATTCCGGTAGCAAGACCTCGGTCGCAGCAGAATGAGAGATACAGCTGCTGCGACTACTTCCCGGATTGCTGAACAATTCATTAAATACCAGATCTTGAATGGTCACGTGTTTCCAGCAACTCGAAGCTTATGGGGAGTTTTTCAACGTCTGAGATCTGAGTCATTAACGATCCCTGTATGGGCTGGATGTAATTGCTTGCAACTAGATCAATTTCGAACGACAGACGGACCCTTGAGACTTGGATCTCTGTTCTCTGAAGGGTTCCGCTTTGTGCTTACTGGCTCGGGAAAAAGACGCAATCTCTATATAAGTATCTGCATTCCTTTGTCGAGTGCTAAACTTAAAGATCTCTTAATGCCTATTTACTGTGTTAAAATGCGCTAGCACACGTGACTTAGAAGGAAGCATAGAGTCTTATTTTGATATTTAGCTTTGATATTGTTATTCCGCACAGGAAGAGGCGTGTGTATAGCATCGTTGGCATAACTCTGAGAATCCGATATTGGAATTTGATCTAAGTGTTTCCATTTCCGTCTTATGAGGAGATGCTGGTCTAAACTGAGCTGCCAATAAACAATCCTAAGCCGAGTACGTTGCAAGATAAGTAAGCAAAGGTTTCGTGGGTGAGCTATTAGTTCGAGCCGGCAATCAGAGACTCAATTAGAAACGTTGAAAGGCCGGATTTTCAACCACATCGTTTCGATTGCAGTGGGACCAACTCAAACCTTCCATATCTAAGACGCTAAGGTTGTGTTCGATTTCGCTAATTTAATGACCTAAATGTGGTCAAATCGTCTGGTCACGATTAAATCGATCGCGCAGTTGACGGACTACTAATTTGACGCAATCGCCTCAAATTAGCTCAATTTCACACGCCCTCTCGAGGTCATTTCATCGAATATAAAGCAATTAATAGTAAAACGTGCCTTTCAGAGGTCTTTAAAAGAAGCTTATAATTCACAACTCTAATTTAAATAGAAATAGTATAATTGTAACGGCGGGTAATCAGAGCAATGGTCGAGGCACGAAGATCTCCATTTCATATACACGAGAATCTAAAGATAAGGAGAGAAGGACGTGATTTTCCTAAGATACTTTCGCGTTTTAAAAAGTCAAAAAGTATAAATCGTTTGTGCACATCAAAATTCGATTACTAATTAACTACGAATCGTATCAAAAATAGGGTTAATATATTTTATTCTCCTAATTCTAGCCTATAATTATATCACTTAGTATTAATTAATTCAGGTTGTGGTTAAAAAGTCGTTATGGGCGAAAAAGGGGGACCGTTTGGTCCTTGTTGTGTCGGACCGACTGTATAACTCCTCCCGAATAAGCACCGAAATCGCAATAGAAACCATGTCAGTAGGACAACAGGTCGGAAAGGTGAAGGGTTAATTGTTACTCTCACACTTGGCATTCGCATAGTGTAACCAGTCAAACTCTCCTGTTATCCGCGCCAAGAGCTACAATCCTTTCTCCATACGTCCGTAATGTTGCACGAGATAATTAATAGTGGGACTCACCGTCATGAATATGGGGCGCCAATGGCGGGGTCCACTCTTGGCTGCTTGGCGGAATACTGGGCCCGGTCCCGCTTTGGAGGCTCTAAAGCCTACCAAAACCCTAGCAGCAAGAGTGAATCGCGCGCTAACGCTGGCCCTTATGTGCAAAACCTGGAGGTTGCTGTGTATCAAGTCATCTGCCTGCCTAAACAAGACAAGGACTGTCCAGAGTCTATACCCTTGTGCGGCGACCGGCACGGAATACCACGGTATCTCACGGTCACTCCGCGTTGTGGAGTGGTGGAGTTGTGGATCGTGGAGTGGTGGAGTGTAGTGGATCTGCACAACAAACCTCATCCAGATCGACAGCTCGACTTGCTGTTTCCAGGTGAAAGCTGTCAGCCATGGGGTCTTAGGGGTCCACACTCAAAACTCGACCTGATCGACCGCTCGATTTGCTGTTTGCAGGTGGCACAGTTGTCCGCTGTCGGGATAGAACTTGAGGAACCAACTTGGTGAGATGACGTGTGGGTGACAACCAGCACTAGAGAGTAGTAGAGGCCCGCTATCCCCTCTTTCTCCAGATTTCAGGATTTATCGCGTTCTCGTCCATTGCTCCTTCTCGTCCTCAAAACTCATCGCGTCTGGTGTCACTCTCGGTCAAGCGATCGCAACACCACGCCCGCAAACACCATGTCTGATACTGACAAGACTTCTGCATCTCCGGATGCTGGCTACTCTTCTCACAACGAGCAGGAGAAGATGGCTCAGGATCCCGAGCCGAAACTGGTTGACGCCCCTGCTCGCCGCCAGTCTGTCGCCCTCAATATCGTTGAGAACCCGCTGAAGGTGAGCTTCGCCTCGCAATCGCAACCTGGAGAATTGACGCTGACTCGCTTCACTCTCACAGCGCAGCTCCAAAGAGCAGACCACCGCCAATGCCCGAAGCTTTGCCGAGGCGCACGGTATGGCTGAGCACGCTGCTCTATTTGGACGGGCCGCTCTCGTCGCGCGCGACAGTGAAAGATTCGAGATGCTAACAGAGCTCGATGATCAAGAGCGCGCTGCCCTCATCTACGAGCGGGATCACAAATGGCACGGATCGAAAATGCTTTGGTATTCGATTGCCTTGTGTGCCATGGGAGCCGCCACGCAAGGATGGGATCAAACGGGATCCAATGGGGCCAATTTATCTTTCCCTCAGGAATTTGGTATTGCTGGGAAAGGGAGAGATGAATGGATTGTGGGAGTTATCAATGCCATCATCTTCTTGACGGCCGGTCTTATGTGAGCACGTGACAAGCATGCCCCTGATTTCCCCCCTGATTCCCTCGCTTAGGCCTCTCCTTTATGTCCTCATGGACAAGGCTGTCGGGGAAGACAAAGTACATTTCTAACTGATCTTGCTAAAAGTGGCGCTTTCATCGTCGATCCTCTCAACCACTACTTGGGCCGAAGAGGCGAGATTTTCCTCACGGCTTGCTGTCTTACTGCCACCCCGATCGGTTCTGCGTTCGCAAAGTCATGGCAAGGACTCTTCGCGGCGCGATTCGTCATGGGTATCGGTATCGGGGCAAAGAACGCAACGGTCCCCATCTACTCGGCCGAGATGGCTCCCGCTCGAATTCGAGGCGCCCTCGTCATGTTCTGGCAACTTTGGGTTGTGGCTGGTGAGCTGCGTTCTTAATGTTCGTTTTGAGACCATATAATGCTAATCGTCTCCCGTAGGTATCTTTTTGGGCTTCGCTGCCAACGTGATTGTCAAAGACACTGGCCGCATTGCTTGGCGTCTCCAACTCGGTTCAGCCTTTATTCCATCCTTCATCCTCGGCGCTGGCATCTTCTTCTGCCCTGAGTCCCCTCGTTGGCTCATGAAGCATGGGAAGATTGCTCAAGGCTTCCAATCGATGGCGCGCTTGCGTGCTCATCCCATCATCGCTGCAAGGGACTACTACTACTCGTACATTATCTTCCAGGAGGAAATCAAGGTGGCAGGTGGACTAGGCTACTTCTCCCGGCTACGGGACTGCTTCACCGTACCTAGGATCAGGCGAGCAAACTACGGTGCCTCGACTGTCATGATTGCTCAGCAGATGTGCGGTATCAACAGTAAGCCGCCTCTAGTCTTGTTCCAGTGCTTAGCCCTAATACCTTGCAGTCATCTCTTTCTATAGTTCAACAATCTTTGAAAGAGTCGGCTACACACCAACACAGGCCTTGTACGCATCTCTTGGTTATGGTGCTGTCCAGGTCGTGTTCACCATCCCTACTCTGTTCCTCATCGATACCAAAGGCCGAAGAACCCTGACTTTGATTGTGAGTCCCTCCGAACTTTAGGCAAGGATGTAACTAATCCCCTATACAAAGACTTTTCCCCTCATGTGTATCTTTCTGTTAGCTGCTGGTCTGTCTCTTCTGAAACATACGGGTAGCCGTGGCGAACAAATTGGACCAGTTGTGTTGTAAGTTTGTCAAGAATGTTTGCAATTCTGAGTCTTACTAATTACTTCCTTCAACTAGATTCGTCTACCTCTTCACCATCTGCTACTCCTTGGGAGAAGGACCAGTCGCTTTCCAGTACTCTGCCGAGGTGTTCCCCACCATTCAGCGAGAGCAAGGAATGGCTTGGGCCGTTTGCATCAATAATACTTTCGGTGAGTCGTTTTCATCAAATACATCAACCTCTCACTAACAAAGTCTTCTGTAGCCGGTATCCTCAGTCTAACCTTCCCTCGAATGCAGACCGTCATGACTCCAACTGGTGCTTGTAAGTGGGCTCTGCGGGATCCATCCACGGGGCAATCCGCTGACTCTAACTCTAGTCGGTTTCTATGCTGGGCTCAACCTCATCGCTTGGTTCATGATCTTCTGTTTCGTTAGAGAAACCAAACAGCTCACCCTGGAAGAGATCGACCGTAAGTAAAACCCTGCTCGACGCATGTGGTCTTTTCCGCTGACGTACGTTTCTCGCAGAGGTCTTCTCGGTCCCAACGAAGAGTTTCCTCCACTATGAGTTGACCGTGTGGCTTCCTTATTTCTTCAAGAGGCACATCTTCCGACAGAAGATCGCGAAGCCACCGCCAATCATCGAGAAGGCCGACCTTATTGAAGATGTCCACGGCGAGTAAGCTATCAACCAGAAGCTGAAGACGGAGGTGTGGTGGAAGGGATAAACGTGGTATAAGAACCACAAGCACTGTGGTGGCGGTGCATCGCCTACTTGTTTTTGATTAGCTGCTGTGGACAGGAACTTCCCACATAAAAGCACCTGATGTACAGCCTTTATAATAGCTAGAGTTTTGCCGGCCTTTAGAGGGCGCGCAACTTATAAGAGAACTTACCACTTTTTGCGCCTAATTTGACCGCTTTCCTTTCTTTTGCTGTGTTTGGGTTCCCTAGGCTCGTCAGTGTTACGGTTTCCCTAGGTGCAGCTCCACGGCACTCGAGGAGGGGCAGAGTTGGTCGTAATTCGAAGGGTGAAATGAGAAGCAGGCGGAAGACGGAGAGAACGCGGGAGGCATACTAGTGACTATATCGCCGTTACTGAGTCAAAAAATTATACACGTTGTGACGCTGCACTGTCTGAAGTTTATAATATGGCTGAAATGAGTCGCCATTTATCCATATTCGATAACTCGGCGCAGCCTCGAGCCTCCAAGCGGGCATTCATACATTCAAATAACGAGTCCAGTGCTCACACTCGAAGAAACATTCCTGCATCACCATTCACAAGTGGACCCTAATCACCCAATATGCTCTTGGTACAGTGTGGGATATGAAATGGATTAGTGCGTGCCACCTTTGATTAGGAATAGGCATCTAAACAGTGGCTTGAAGATACGTATGAAGGTATAGTGAAGGGTGCTTCGCTTTGAACTTTGTTTTTTCATAGACGAAAATGAACATTAGACACCGAGATTTGGCAAGCTAGAAGTTTTGAAACGGGTGTGTAGGAGACCGGCAAACAATATTCAATTTGAAAATAAAGGTGATCTGCCTAAGTTTTAAGGATATCAACATTGAAAAATAGTGTTCCGTCGTCGCTGTTCGTAACATGTATTGCCAGCTTTCCCGCTCAAAAGAACATTACCCCCTTCTTCTGTCCTCGAAACGAAGACTCCACGAACCAACCTTAAAACAACCTAGAAATCACCTGAACGACTAAAGTAAAAATATTACTTACTAGTCCCTGGCTCATGACCTGATACGACGACTTGCAGAACTGAATCCTGGTTGGATGGGCTGGTCACATATCTAGAATCGTCCACGTAGCCACGCTTATTTGTTCCATAACGCTCGTCACCCGGAACGGTTGGGGACGGATTTTATGAAGAACCGGAAACAATGAATGGACTCTAACGATCATCCACGCTTTGGCACTAGTCCATCATAGCCTGCTGCTCGCTGTGAACGCGTGCTGTACAGAGATCTTGCCTAGCTTCGGTGCCCTTGCTTGGAATCTCCCTCTCATCAGAATGTATCCTCGAGAACTTCAGTTTCTCCAACCACACGCGACCCCACCGATACCAACACACCCACGACACGAGCGTTAAGGTTGTCGAGAGGAGACACGCGAGCAAGTACACCCAGCCGTACTTCGAAATAACCCTTGGTTGATCCGAAGGCTCAGAGACGTGAAAATTGAAGATGCCGGTTGAGAAAATGGCCGATACGAAGGTGGCAGGAAGGAACACCAACGTCACGACTGCAATCGTCTTCATGGAGTCGGTGTCTTGCTTGTTGATACGGTTGTAAAGCACCGCCGAGAGACTTTGCAGCACATCCTGCGCCATTTTCATATTGCGAAGGTAGAGCTCCGCGCGGATGATGGTTGACTGGATTTCCTCATTCTGTTCCGAGACAAGTCGCCCAGCTGATTGGCTTTGACCAGGCGTGTTAGCTTCCTCGTACTCATCACAGATCTTAACAAGTCTTTGAACGGCTTTTGCGTGCTCAAGGATTGTCGAAGCAGATAACTCGGTATTTGCGAGCTTCTTAGCAAGCCCCGCCAAGTCCGCATTGAGAAGTGTGAAGTCGTGGTCCAGCTCGGCGTATCTACCTAATTTAAGGGAATCGCTGTCTCTGGTCACCCCAAGACGAGATTCGAGGTTGTAGAGTTCTAGGCGCCAACGCACGTACTGATGGGCCTCGTGCTGGATGAACTGAAGGATGACATTGAGTATCATTAGCGGGTGTCGTTGTAGAATTGCTTGATTTAACTTAAGCCATGCAACTAGATCGTTGGCAACTAGAGACCTTTTCTTCAGGTGATCCATAGCCTTCAAGAATATCAAAACCTTCGACGTTCTCTCCTTCAAATCGTATCGTAGAAGACAGAAGAATGAATCATTTTCGAAAGTGGACATTGCTATTTCCAAGCTTGGCGGTGTAGACGTGTTGGCGGACGTTGGGAAGTCAAATCGATATTCAAACATAGGAGCTTTGGCAACCACTTTCTGGAGAAAGGATTGAGAGAACCCAAAGTCTGCACAGACTAAACAAAAGCGTTCCGAGGTAATAGAAAACGGGGTGGATAGCTGGCCAGAGCCAGTTCCAATAGAGATGTGCAGATTCGGAGAGCCAGACCAGGTTTGCAGCGATCCGCAAGAAGCGTTCCACTTCGCATATTTAACGAAGGACTCGAGACCAGGCACGAACTGCTTCTCACACAAGACGTTCAGGTTACCCACATTGAAGTGTATGGGAGGTGGAGCTTGCATTCCAAAGGCATCATCCCTCGTGTTGTTGAATGGCCGCAATGGCGTTAGCTGATACAAAGGCGATTCTGGGAGTACCAGATCGGTTCGCGATTGAGGCCTTCGTGTTTGCATAGTTAGGCTCTTGGGTGTGATGAGCTGGGAGGTGGACGGTCAAAGATGAGGTTGCGCAAGAGATGTTGGGTGCTCAGCTGGCCAGCTTCATCTCGATCTTGGCGCCTCGGCGGGGCTTCATTGGACGGGCTCTCCTTTAGTAACGAAACCTCGTTTATAACCCCCAACGAGGAAATATCAGGTGCTTTCCAGAATCGCTATTGGCTATACACCCTTGAAATGGCCAGTGCTTGGGTGGTGTTATCCTTGGGCCCACTGTAAGTATTCCAGGGAAGATAGTATGTTTTTGTCTCTCTACTGAGGCCATTAGCGGGCTAGCGGACAAATCCGAGAAGCGAAAAGTGATTTTCTGATTTTCTGATTTTCGCGCCCACACCCCCCCCCCCCCCCCCCCCCCACCACACCTCACCAAAAAAAAAAAGTACAGTATATACGCCTTATTCTCGACTACTCCTAACCCCCCCTTAGCTTGCATAGTCCGTAAGGCAAATCCCATGGATTACGAGACACATCTCCATCTCCCTTACTCTCTGTATCCTCCGTACTACCTATATTACTCGAATTATCTATATCTCCTTTGTCTCCTTCTCCTCCAGTATTCTCACCCTCCTCTGCTGCAACCTCCTTCCCCATTACCTTCTGACCTTATATCTGTCTTTATACTTACTTTCTATATCTTATAGGCGGTCGAGGCTTTGGTATAAAGGGTTTTGCAGATATAGAGTAAGGCTTTCCAGACTTAATAGAATTAGTATTAAATTAATGGAAAATATAGACTTTACTATTATTATTATATCTATAATTTATATAAGTACTATCGAATTTGCCTTCTATAACTATATAGCATTTGAAAGGGCCTCTCGGTCTTTTCTTATTACTATAAGTAGTATAAGCTTAAGAGAATTTGGTTCCGTAAGTATATACTAAGCTTGCCTCCAGATTTACCTTACCTTTCTCTAATTTCTTTAGCTCCTTGCCCTGGTATAGCTCTATCTCTCTAACTTTAGCCTTATTATTAATTCGCTTTACTACTTTAGTAGTATTATTAGATAATATAAGAAGATTAAAGTATTATTATAGAAGAGGAAGAAGAGGTTATATATAAGGAGAAAGTCGAGAAGTAGAGGGGTTTATTAGTTAAATATATTAATAGGAGAGGATATTATAGACTAAGTCTGGATTATTAAAAAGTATATTATAAATATTATTTTTCTATTTATTTATAGCTTTATTACCTTTTTTACTGCTTTTGCTTTTACTAAAGCTATTGCCTAAAGCCATATTTAATATATTTTTAATAAAGAAAAGCTTTAATAATAGTATTATATATCGGAATTAAAGTTATTTTTGGAAGGAGGTTAAAATTAAGATTAAGGCTAAGATTAAAGCTAGTATAGCTATATCTTTATTATTTATCTTTAGAATATAAAGATATATATTTAATATAATTATTTAAATCCGAATAAATTTATAATAAATAATACCTAAAAATAGAAATATTAGTATTTAATAGCCCTAGGTTAAGTATATTTAAATATTAAAAAAATTATAATTTTAGATATTATAGTTATAAAGATAAAGATATAAATATTCTTTCTCTTACTAACTTATAAAAGCTAAGATATACTAATAATAATTAAATTATACTTAACTTATATAATTAGCTAATTTACTTTACTAATTATAAATAATTCGAGGTAATTTAAATTTCCTTAAATCTCTATATATAACTTATTATATAAATTTCTATATTTCTATATTTAGTAATACTATAATTATAATTTTTAGATAAGAAGAATTCTCTTATTCTAGTATATATAATTATATTTATTTCTTATTTTTCGAATATATAGTTATTAAATTAGAGAGGCTTAAGAATTCTAAGTAATACTTTCTCCTAAGAGATATATATTCTTAATAAATAGTAAAAGTAAATATAGAATTATATAATAATATAATTATTTCATACTAATAACTTTATTTTCTATAAAACTATAATTCTATTCTATCTTTATTCTAAAACCTCTATTCTTTTTCTATATTTTTTTGACTTTATTATTAATACTAAGAGTTTCTGCCTTTTACTAATACCTTCTTTATTAATACCTTTATTAATACCTTTATTAATACTAAAAGCTAGTATCTGACTGCTTTATAATTTTCCTTTCCTCCTCCGAACTCTTTCTTACTTCTTCTCCAAACCCCTCTTTCTTACCTCTCCTCCTTTAATACTTCTTCTATTAATACCAAGAGCTAGTATCTGACTGCCTTATAACCTTTCTCTCTTTTTCCGAACCCCTCCAAACCCCTTTTCCGAACCCCTTTTCCGAACTCCTCCTCCTTTAATATTTCTACTAATAATACTAAAAGCTAGTATCTAACTACTATTTCCGGATTACTTTTATTTAGAACTCCTATATTATAAGTCTTTAATCTATTTACTCCTTAGAAAGCTAAATTTTAGATTTCTTTTTTCCTTTTCTAATATCTCCTTCTCTCTTTTTCTAATATCTCTTATACCTTTGGGCCCTTTGGAAATATTTTCTCTCGAACTTCCAAAAAAGAGGCTAATTCCTATTTAGATTCTTTTGAACTTTAATACTTTCTCTCTTTCTTTAATATTTATAAAAGCCTTCGGGCTACTATTAAGTACCCCTATTCTTTATCTTGGAATATATACTAACTTATTCTTATAGGAAATAGCCCTTCTTTCTCTAATCTCGATTTCTTTAATATATACTTCTTATTTTCGGGCTATTTAAATATTTCCCCGTTTGCTTTTATAAAATATATACTAACTTACTTTTTAGTTCCCCTTATTTTATTTTTCTTTTAATATTACTATATATATACCTAGTTAGTACTAGTTCTTATAATTTATAGTTAGGCTTTCTATTTATTAAATACCCGGGTATTTTATTTTACTTTTACTTTATATATTTTATTTTATATACTTTATTTTCCTTTTATTATAAGTTAGGACTCAAATAATATTTATCTTAAGTACTTATATTCTCGGATATATAAGACTTCTATAGATCTTTCAGAATTATAAACCAGCCTATTTTAGTTCAGGAGAGCTTTTTCGAAAGTATTTCAGAAGTTATAATATTTACTATAATTCTTTCTAAAGATTAATATAATATAGGTATTTCTGGTCTATTCTCTTTCTATAGAATAAACTACTATTCTAAGTCTATATAAAAGTCCTAATTATCTCTCGAGTTAAAGTATAGATACTTTTTATTTCTATTAAATTAGATATAAAAGATAGTAGGCGCTTTTAGGCTAGACTATAGTACTAGTTAAGTACTAAGACTTCCTATATTTATCTTATAAACTTATAATTCGAGATATATTATATTTAATAGAGCTTTTATATCTAATTACTTTATACTATAATAAAATATCTTAGTATTATAGTTAGGGGAATTCTATTTTATAATCTTATCTATTATTTATAGATTTTCTAGCTAATAAGTCTTGGCTAATAGCTAAGAAACTTATTAGCTATTTTATCTAAAGCCTCTAGAAGCGGAAAGTTACTTTAATAAAGACTTAGTATTAAAAATAGATTTAATTAATTAATCCAAATGAGAAGTTTATAATAGAAGTCTCTTTATATAAGTAATTCTATATAATAAACTCAAGTCCTTATTCCTGGTTATATAAGTAAGCCGTATAAGAAACTCTTTCTGGCCTATTAAAATAGTTCCTGTTTCTAGTTATATAAGTTATAATATATAATAAACTCAAACTTTTCTTAGATTATTTTTAGAAGAATTAGTAAGCTTTTCTAGATAGACTTATTAAGGCCTTGGTTTTTAAAAGTATTAATCTAGCCTTTTTATTTCTCTTTTAGGTAATAGTTTGACTCTTAGGAATTATATACAAATATTGAAATAAATAAAAAGATATACTATATATATTTTCTAGATAGATTAGAATAGAACCTATAGGATTCCTATAATATTTTTATTAAATCTATAATACTAGCTAATAAAGACTTTAATAACCTTAATAAGACTTGAATTATAAGCCTGGCCCTCAGATTTCCTGCTTAACTTAAAGGTTAAATAGTCTATAATAGGTTACCTATTATAGAATATATTATACTTTTTTCCCAAAGAATACCGGATACTAGTAATAGTCCGGAAGCCCTAAAGCCCTTAAGACTTTTTATAAGTTTCGGGCTTTAGGGCTTTTCTATAGCTAGCCGATTATATAGAGTCACGTGACTATACGGGTCCGGTATTAATATAAAGTAATTAGTAACTTTATATATAAATATAGTATGGTTTTTAGTATAGCTAGTCTAATATATTATATATCTATATATAAATACCTATAATTTTATTATTATAATATAATATATCCTTAATATAAAAATCTCTTTATAACCCTAGACTTTTAGGAGCTTCCTCTATACTAAAAGCAGAATATATAATACTATTTAGATATTAAACTCAAAAGGTAAAGAATTATAAAGGCCCTAATAATTATAAGACTTTATAAACTTAAATAGATTTGAGTATTATAAAAGTATTAAATTTAGTAGCCTGACTTTTAAATTATATAAGAACTAATTAAAGAGTATTATTTTAAAGTATTAATTATAAATTCCAAATATATATATATTTATAAGGAAATAAGACCTAAAATAGTACTAAGCTAATTATAAGATATAGGAAAAAGTATATTAGATATTAGACCCATTTTTTCTTAATTACCTTAATCTTAGTAGATATTTATATATAATTTATTAGATCTTATATAATAGGTTTATTTAGGAAAAGTAAGATTAATTAGCCTGAGAAGTTTAATAATAATAGTTAGACTTCCGTTCGGGGTAATAGGCAAAGTACTAGTAATAGCCCGGATACCTTGGGTTTTATCTATAAAGCTAAAGATATTATATTTATTAATTCTCTATATCTAATAAGAAAGAGAAGTAATATATTTATATCTCTAATATATCTATTACTATGAAATAATACTTATATAGTCTATAAGATTAATTATAGTTCCTTTTACTAAAGGAAAGAATAGTAAAATTAAAAGAGAATCTAATAGTCTACTATTATTATTATTATTATTATTATTACTATTAGAATTAGCTTTAATAGTACTTTTAGTAGTACTTTCCGTATTATCTTACGGCTTTTAGAGATTAGTAAATAGAAAAGAATCCTAGTATAT